ATATATATATATATGTATAGTTACCTGAGGTCGATATGGCCCCTGTCCAGTGACATGGGTATCTGCAAGTCGTGCGACGCGGCCGCGGTGGCGGAACCGGCGACCGTCAAGCTGGTGCTGCAGGACGGGCAGCTATAGGAGTTCGCGAGGCCCGCGAAGGTGTCCCACCTGCTGCAGCAGGACCCGACGTGCTTCGTGTGCGACTCCGACGACATGGAGTTCGACGGTTTCGTGCACGCCGTAAGCGCCGACGACGAGCTGCGGCCCGGGCAGCTCTACTTCCTCCTGCCGATCTCCATGCTGCAGCGGCCGCTCAGTAAGGAGGAGGTGGCGGCGCTTGCCGTCAGAGCCAGCGCCGCCCTCCTCGTAGCTTGAATTTGTAGGATTATTTGTCATCTAATTGAACATATTTATAAAAAAAGAAAAAAAAAACTTAAGTTTAATTAATATTTGTATATAGCCCTCGTTTTTTAGTTGACTTGTATAGTACATTTGGATTCACTCGTACATTAAATTATATATTAGGTTCTTTACTAACAGCTTTAGTTTCTTGAATTATTTATTGGTCTCTTAATCAAGAATATTTATCATAAAGGAATCTGAGTTTAAATTTATACGTTTCTCTTTATTTTGTATAATTGATTAATGTCAAGCCTAATACGACATATTTTGTAACATATCTTCTCGTGGATATCATGTCATCGATGAAACATCAATCCATAGTTATATGGACTCTCTCTCTCTCTCTCGCTCTCTCTCTCTCTCACACAAATTAACAACTCAAGCAAAATCTACATTGCTTCATATCACAATCCAGTAATGCTCAGGAGATGAAGGCAGATAGCCTGACACCCCCATCAAAGATGAGCAAAATGCATCATTTGTAAAGGACAGGAATAGTGTGACATGGTAAGTACATTCAACAGATTCCTCCCATTTTCTCTATCCTCAATCACATTTTTACTATTGTTCAAGCTAATAATTCTCTAAAAAACCCATGCATCCTTCTTCAAGGATTCTCTTGGCCTGGGTGAAATCAAAACCTAACCTTTTGGCACACAAAATGCAGGCTTGAGGAGAGGAAAACAATGGCTAAAAGGAAATACAAACATAAAGATTAGAACTACAACTTTACAATTTCCGTTCGTATTGCGAGTAGAGATTCCCGAAGCGTCTTAGCCACCACGGTCTCGTCTCACCGTAGCCCGTGCACTGCCCCTCCCCTTCCTCCTCGCTGCTGAAAAGGGTCTGGTCGGAGCAGTCAAGGCCTGCCCCACACGCTGCGTTGTAAGACCGGCATGCAGAGTGGCACACCCGAAGCCTATTGTCTCCATCCTTGTCGTCGCAACGTTGCATTGAGATCTGAGGCAAGAAAGAAGCAAATATTAGAACAGGTGCATGTCTTTTAACACACCTATGTGGCTGTTTAGTTGAAATATATCAGAGATCGATATTAAAGAGCAAAGTATGACACTAATTGCATCAAAATTTAAACCAAAGTGTTCATTTGAAATTGTAGTTTTGGTGATCACTTCTTATTTCTCATAGAAACAGTTCATATCTAACTCAACATTCAAGTAAAATCTGTTTATGAATCCAATGTTGGTTAAAATCCTTGTACCAAAGTGCTATAGAACTAACAGAAAGAATACCCATGAGAACTTTAAAGTCGATAGACATAAATAGCATACCCAGCAGGCAAGCCGCTTTGCTGCAGCTGCACAGTAGCCATTGTCAAGGATGCCAAACAACGTCCGCCCACCTGGTACTAATCGGTTGTAGTTAGGCATTACTACAGCTGCTTCAAGCTGCTGTAGTATGCTGGGTTCACTCGGTGCACAGTGCTGTCCAAGTAAATCCTGAGCTAGCACATCACCACAAATTGAGAGGCTAGCAAGCAACGATGAGCTGTTTTGACAAGCATAACCCGCATAGTCAGAACAACGGAACTCACAAACACCATTGTCGCAGACTCCTCCATGCAAACTACACTGCTCATCGCATATAGCTGCAAAATATAAATCAATATATCAGTTCTTACACTTTCTTTGTCTAAAAGCATGAGCAACCAACGCTAATGTAATTTGCATCACAAAATGTGCAAGAAGTACAGGTTCTAAACAGAATGGGGAACAGTACCAGTAGAGCAGTCAACACCTGTCCAACCAATTTGGCATTCACAGATACCGTTTGGATGGCATATGCCATGTCTGCTACAGTTTCCTGTACATGATCCTGCAAATGAAACATAATTTATAAACATGAAAAGTATGAACAAGAGCACTGAGCACCACAACCGAGTTGTAAATATTCAAAAGCAAAGAACCAGCTAGGTGGAAGAACATGATTTTATTGCCACCACAATATTTTATAATTAAAGGATCAGCAGGTACGTTATCAGGCAGCATAATACATTTAGATTTTACTTTGTATCTGGATAGGAAGTCCAAAAGGGCATATGACTTCAATTATTCGATGGATCACTCCGATGCATGATACTGTAATATATGATTCTCGAGCCTACATTCTCCACAGGACAGTAATGCCAATGGTACGATTGGCATTCGCCAAAAAAATTTGAAGGGATGAAAAAGCAATAGCCACATATTTTGAAGTATCTTAGGAAGCCCTTTTATAGTTTGAAAATGAGAACCAACAACAGAAAGCACATAAAATGCACACAATTTTTATCAGTCATTCTGGCTCCTCCAGCTTAATTAAGAATTCGAAAATTCACTCTTTGCTTAGAGTACATGAAAAATATCCTCTGGCTGACATGGATAACAATTATCTTCAAAGAAAAGGAGGTTGGATTTTGCAATGTGGATTGTGGCTTTTACAAAGAATGTAAAAAACATGGAGAGCGTCATCATTTGGTTGACATGGACGGAGTCAAAATGCAATAAACTATGCAATAGGTGTTGTAATCTTGTAAACTCACTTTTGCTGCAGTCATTGCCATGGAAGCTAAGAAAGCAACGGCACTTCCCATCAATGCAGTCACCATTGAAGCTACAAGAGCCAGGGCACTGGCCAGTGACAGACATAGGCACACTGCTGCACAACTCCTGATATGCTGGGCAGATCAGCTCACCTGCAACATCAAGGTCAATCATATTGATGAGTCTATGAAGCTCTCATATGACATGTTTTAGCACAATGAGAAACTCACCATGGAATCCACGAAACTGAACAGGACCACCAGCTTCCGGACACACTTTCCAGATACCATCCACGGCAACCTAGATGAATTAATCAGATCTACCACAGGTCATATGTGGGCATAAATCTACAGATATCATAAGCTGTATACATTTGTGAAGAAACCCATAAATCAAAGACCATTATAGGCTATACCCTGGTGCTAATAAAATAAAACAATAATGGGAACTGTTAGAGCCAGGTGCCATAAGAAATCAACTTATGCCATCCATGGAAATAACCATAACCATGCACTCAAAGTAGGGGTGTATGCCTTGTACACGAAATAAGAGACAAAAGGCTGGTAGCCAAAGCAAACTTCAAATAGCATGTAAAGAGAATTTTAGTTTCTTCAGGGATTGACAGATGGAATGAGCTTTCTAAGGGCTAGATGTTAAATTTCCAACAGAAATCTCAGCAGGTACTGATAGAGCTAAAGATACTTAAAGGTTTCAATAAGAGCAGAAATTTTATCGCAGAAAAGAAAAGAAAATTACATTACTCCAATGAGTTAGAAGAAATGACTACTATGATTTATCTTCAAGTTAAATAATGATTTCAATTTTGTCTGCATCAGACAGGAATTTCTGCAAAATTCAGAATAGTTTTTGCCTAGAGAAGCAAAATGGTTAAACATATGCATAACCAATTTGCATCGATCGGATCCATTTATATTTACTGAAAAGGCTTTCTTCCAAATATTTAAGATAACATCAAATGCCAAAATATACTATAGTAAACCTCCTACTAACAACAAAGGCTAGATTGAGGTGCCAGACATATCAAGTTTATGTAGAGTGCAATAAGCTATTTTACATCCTCATCCACATATCTGGATAGTTGCAGTGCGATATGCTATCTTACAAAAAAATGTAGAAAGATAAACAGTAAGAATATGCAAAATAAAATAGTTCTCTACCTCTAATGTGTTGTTTCTACACCTATGTTGATAACATCCATTTCCCTGGGTCATAGAACCCCTAATAAAGCCTGTGCGCACCAATGATGAAGCCATACACCTGACAAGCTTGTAGCACATTAGAAGGTGATCAAGAAATAATTCAATTTTAGTATAAGTTCATCTTAGTGCTGGTATAAAATAAATAAATAAATTTCCCATTTTGTTTGACATTTTGTCATTAAGCCTCTTTCTTGTAAGCAAAGAATGTTATCCAATTAAAACAAATGTTAAAATTGATCATCTCACCTGGAGTTAATTCCTCGGGCCTCACCCAACATTCTGTCAGGTGATCGTGCACTTTTCGTGTCCGTGCATGAACCATCAGAATAAGCAACAAAATATGTACAATAGTCTGCCAATGATGATTGCCCACCTGCATTGACAAAGTAGTTTTTAACATCTATAACAAATAAATGCATCATATTGAAAATTTTCTAATTTAAACTATAAGAGCTACCAAAGGTACAAATTCTTTTACAATGTTAAAATGAAAACTAACTTCATTCAAAGAGGGCAAATTGGACCAAACTGCACTTCACATTGGAACAAATAACAGGGTTGTCATGTTGTAACTTCATTCAAAGTTACAGATTATGCATGATGTCCTTAGGATTAGTGGATTACAAGGGAATATGTTGATGGTTCTCTATACTAAAATTTTAACAAAACAAAATTCATCCAACACAAAAATCACATTGCCACACCAGACTTTCAACAATAAACAAAAGAGGAAAAAGGAAAGGACAGAATGATTAGACTTATAAATTTGAAAAACATTAGTATCAATACAAACACCAGTTTACTAAAATTAACTAAACAGCTTAGTTCAACTACTAAGAAGAACATCAACAACAAAAACAAAGAGAATCTTAGCTTGTGACACAACATACCTTGTCCTACACTTGCCAAGCTCAAGAAAAAATAATAATTTAATGAAAATTTATTATGATATGGTCAATCATTCTGATGATGGAACAACAAGAGGGCAACCAACACATAGGGCTCACATCATTCAAATCTAGAGAGGATAATACACAACATTACACCACCACATGCAGCAATGTTCATTTTGAAATTTTGAACCCAAGAATGAGGGAATCATAGAGAGTGAGAACTTCAACATCCAAAGCTGTTTTATCACAAACTAGGCAGGCTAATAATTTCACTTGTTTTTGCTAGTGAGATTGAACCACCATCAAATAGTTTGTCTTTTTTTCTCCTTTAAATTGTTCACTATTGTCAATCACATATATGTATCGTAAACCCACTTTGTGGATCCCCAATCTGGCTTGGCTAGGTCTCGCTCACTTCATTTTCCTATAGTACCTATTCAGCTTCATCCATCACGGGACTTCTTATGACTTTGTGGATTTGAAAATTCACTCAGTTATTTGCCTCGAAATTAAAAATAAAAAACAAACCAGAAAACTAGAAAAAGAGAGAAAAATGGTTCTGGCTCAAAAATGATATGCAGAATGGGGAACCTTTTTGGTGCCCCACCCTCTTAAAGACAAACTGAGACACAATGTGAGAGGTTTAAATACAATTTACAGTACCAATATGGATAATGCCTTGAACCACCTGAAGATGTTCAAAATGCCAAATGCAGCTGATCTTGGTAAAGTTTACCAATGAATGATAATGACCCATAAGTAGATAGAACAATTTTTTTACCATTTCTGACAGGTAATCATAATTTTTTTAGTACAAGTAGCTACAGGTTTTGCAATGGTTTTCAACTACTTCTTCAATACATAATGATTAAGGCCAAGATCCAGGTCACCGTGGAACAACTTTACTACAGTAAAAAAAGATGAACAGAAAACAGGAGATTAAAATTTCAATTAAAATTTCAATTTGAAATGCTAACTAGAATTGAGGCGTGCCTTTATTAGCCTGTGGAAAATATTGAGCCCATTGTGGCAAGTCCCCATTATAACTCACAATAGGGCAGTACCCTTCTGCCTCCCTGTTGTATGTACAACCTGACAACTGAGTAGTGTTGCAACGGTATGCCCCTTTCCAGTGATTGCAAGGAGACGTAACAAATTCCGTTCCTTGATTCCAACCCCAATCAAGGTGGTCTGCCATGCTATAATTAGCCTGGTACCATCCACTATCCTCTAATAAAGCCAAAGTCATTTTCGAAACTACAGATTTTGTATCCACAGATCCTGTCATGATTTCATTCATTAGAAGTCTTTTCTCCCAGTGAGAACCTGCCATAGATAGTACATCATTTAGAGATGACCAAATGGAATTCAATGGTGTATTTGATCAGGCATATTGGTTAAATACCACTTTTTTATGCAAAAGAAAGTACCTGATGTACCACGACCTCCTCCATCTTCCAACTCTAAGCCAGTAAAATTTTCAGAATATGCCTGACAAAAAGAATAATTATCAAGATCAAATGACAGCATGATCTTAATTTCCAGAACAATTAAACTAATTTGTATGCTCCAACAACAGAATGAAGAAAGAATCTCCTTGTTCCTATATGACTGGCTCCAACTTACCCCATAGTGATATCTAGCATGCATAACAACTCGGGGTAGGACCACACGTGTGACCATACGTCCAAGCTTCTCATCCATAAGTTGCATAGTAACCTGAAAACATGGGTGGTTAATTCAAGATGATGTTTATAATCAATAGTGACTTGTTCAAAGAGCTCAGAGTAAAAAAAGAAAGTACTAAAGACAGACTGCAAACAGATACCTGGCTACGCCTTCTTTTTCTCTCATCACGGAAGTGTGCGAAGGCATGAGGATCAAAACCTAAAACATGTATGACCTACAAAGCGAATTCCCATCAATTACCGAAGCATAGTTGAGAGACCTCATTACAAAAAGAAATTGGCCAACCTCATGTATCAAAGTAGCTGAAAGCAGGGCTTCTGCCTCTGCTGTTAAATGACGAGGAGCGACATTTACATGTCCTACAATTTTTGTAAGGTAAAGGTTAACTAGAATAGACATCAAAGTCAAAAAAAAAATCACATACAAAGTTTGCCAATAATTGGCAACAATTATTATATCTAAAACACCTGCAATTGCACGACCCCATTGATCCCGCTCACATGCAACTGCCCATGCAAGAGTGTTGCCAGTTGTGGGTCTAGCGGTTACCAACAGAACAAGGTCAGCATCAGCCACTCCATCTGCATGGTATAAAGGTACTGAAGCTAAAGTACATTAGAAGAAACTGAGCCGCATCCAGAACATCTAGAGAAGGTACCTTCAACATATTCATGGGGAAGTTGCACCCCACCATCCTGCCCACACGCAGAATATCCACTTAACCGCAAGTTTCCCTTAACAGGTTCAATGGCTAAAGCCCTTCTAAACCACTCTGCTGTTTGCCCAAGTGCCTGCTCAAGAATATTTGATGAACAAAACTTGTTAAAGAGAGCTCTCATAAATACAAGTGACTAATCAAACCATCATTGTTTAAATAAGCTGATTTTGGAATCTCAGTGAGTTTCTAAAGGAGAACAACGACTAATTTTAGTTAGGTTTCAGTAGGTCTCACCAGTTTCATTGATTCATTCAGTATAAGGAAGTTTCAAATTGAAGTGAACAAAAAACATCGAAATTTGATCAATCCAGTTTTAGAAAGTGCTTCCATTCCTTAAGATTTACTCTCACCCCTTTCTCTCCAAATTTCAGCTTTTTCTTCGAATGCACTCAATCATACCTTCCTATAGCTAGAAATATCCAATTCAAACTATTAAGCTTTAAAAATAATCTCACTACAAAATTAAAGCATTTGGTAGTTTTTTTGTCATTTAAATTAGTTTTTAGTGGACTGCCTCCCAAATTTCTCTCAGAAGTTGAACTGATGTAGCGTAAACATTATAATTTTAAAACAAATTCCATTTTGTTCACATATGAAACCTGGTTGAAATATCAACAATCTAATTCAATATGGCTTGTCAATACTACCTCCATGGCAGTCACCATGGCGATGAAAGATAACAGCATCTAGAATGCATACTAAGTACATAGTAGTAAAGATTTCCCTCGAAAGAATGATAAGAAAGAAGTCGGCACTATGTCATATTGTGACTTGACTGTTTTAAGAGGATGGCCCTTGGTGTTGCTCCTTTATAACCTGATGACCAGAATTGTCATGAAAACCAATGAGGACGTATTAAGTGTAACTAGTCTAAAGTCTAAACATAAATGATATGGGTATTAATTGTTAGCATACCATGCCTCCCATAGAGTTTAATATGTTTTATATTGGCTTAGTAAATTAATCGTTAGAATGCTTCTTGAATTTTTAGATTACAACGCAACCATTATTATAACAAAATTTCATCTGAAAGCCACAAGTCATTGGGACTATCTAAATGACTATATTAAACAACACAAGGTATTAGTTTATAATAGCACCTAATATTCTCTTCTAATTTTTCTGAGGTGTTTCCAAAATCTTCTAGGATAGGACTTGAAGCATAACAGTAAAAAATGAGACTTCACAGACCAAACTGAAACTGAATGGTTGAACACATCATTTGTACTTTATTCAAAACATCACTTATAAACCAACAAGTTGGGAAATCAAAACTAGGGTAAGAAGCAACAGGCAGATTTCTACACTAGTAACTCAAACTTTGCTCGTAAAATCTTGGTAAAAGAAAGACTATATGGTAGACACATAACATGAACATAAACGATTATAATCCATGTGAAGTTAATTCCATTGCAGCTGAAGCAGCAATAGCTAAAATGATACCTTCCGAAGACGTTGCTTTTTATCCTCTCCTGAAATATCTTCCAGGGTGCACTCATACCAACAATCGGCAAAAACTGGTCGATCTCCATGAGCATTGCACACAGGTGTTCTTGGTATTGATGTTGCAGGAGGTTCACCAAGCTGAAATATGAGCATAATAGAAGACCAATTCACAGTTACAGAATGCACGACTCCGAATGCATAGAGGGAGGAAATATCTACTTGCAACAAATTACCTTCACGAGATCTCCAACATTTTGACAATCTCTATCGGAAGTGTGCCCAACAGCATCATAATTTAGAAATATCCGTATAGGCTGCTTTGCATCAATTTGCAGTGGAAAAGCTGGAGACAATTCAAGCAAAGTTCTCCCTCCACGATGATGTGGCCTTGACAAACTAGACCCATGATAAACTTGAGGAGTGACGGAGTACTCTTTTCGGCCAGGGCGCCGCCTTTGATGGAGTATCTCATCATGGATGCACGAGTGCGTGAGATAAACATTTTTCTCCCCAGATTCAGTATTTTGCCAAAGCAGAGGCTTACTGTCTTGAGGTTTGGCACAAGTTGCTCCAAAACTCACAAAGAACAATGCAATCTACAAAGCAAAAGAATAAATATAATTGTCAAAGTCTGGCATTCGGCTCAAGTTCTACTGAAGGGGCTTGAGATAAGAAAAACAAATCACCACGCATTAAGTGTGTAAAAGGAACGGTAGCAAAGAGCACAAAAATTGCCTACCCACGCATTAAGTGGGTAAAAGGAATGATCACTAAAAGATCATTCTAAGGGCTAAAATTTCGAGGAACTCATAGTAATAGAAGAAGCCTTGTTCTACACAGGACAACAACCACCGCAAAGCTCTGAGCAAAGACTCATGAACATCGAGAACCCCCATACGCAGAAAGAAAGATACCAGAACAACTGGAAAGACCAATCACCTACCCCAAAACCACAACCAGAACAGGAATAGTAAACCCTAAACCACAACCAGCCTAGATTGGTCTACCCCCTTCCCCAGATCACAAGTAGACGCCACAATCCAATGCAAACACAAACAACCAAACCCAAATCCGTCAAAGCCAACAAGTTCCATTCGATTCTTCCCACCCACGGCAAAAAGATGTCCTCCCCACCCCAAAAAAAATCACAAACCAGATCGAGTGGCAAAACCGCCCTACCTCAAGCGCGACGACCGCGAGAAGAACCGACACGGGAAATGCTGCCCCCAATGACACCGCACGAGGAAGCGAGGGCTTCACCTCCATATATCGACCCGAAAGCTGCGGGAGCCGCTTCCATCAACCCACCGGGGGACCGATCATCCGCACCACCAACCAGGCCGGGCCCTGCTTCCCCGCCTTCGCTGCGAGGAGCTCGCTTTCTCCGCCCGACGACGCCTCCCTACGCCTGCACAGTCGCCGGAATCGAGAGGTCCCGTCAAGTAGCCTTCCGCAGGCGGATCAGAGCGCCATTAGAGGTCGCGACGGTCGCCGAGAGTCGATGGGGGCCGAAGTGGAGATCTGCTGGGTCTCGTAATTCCCGGAAGTCGGAAGCAACGACGGAAGAAGGATCGGCGAACTCTAAGAGAGAGAGAGTGACGACGTAGCTCTGATATTTCTAAAGACAATAATAAAAGTAAAGATAATCCACTATATAACTAAACGTTACGTAAATACTACTATTTTCTTGATTTATAACGAAAGTGCCATTACCCGCCTCGACGTATTCCTACTATATAAAAGCTAAAACGGTTTTACCAACGAAAGCATTGAAAGAACCTTTTTGCCCTTCACAATCATAAATAAGACATATATGTCACTTCAAATTAATTAATACATCCTAACAAATAATATCTCAACTATTTATTTATTGATCGATTACATGAATCCTTTTATAAATATCAAACTCTATTAAGGTTATATTACTATTTAAATTAAAAATGTTTTAATTTTTATTATGATCCTTCTAGATATATTTTCCTAAAAGTAATACATAGCATCTTCTAACAATGGTTTACTATTCAAGGTTAAATGTTCAAAAAAAATTATTTATTAATAAATATACACCTAAAATACTACTCTAGTGACATACTTAGCTCACTTAATAAATTTATGTCTATAATATTAGTATGGTTTAAAATTTTGTTAAATAAATTTTATATTTAAAATATTGGTGGTGGTAGTATAGTATACCCATTTATAGAATTAAAAATCTTATTCATTGCTATGATGACAATGTACTAAACTCATTAAGGGTTAAAGGTACATTGACCTTTGGTAAATTTTATATACAAAAAAATTAATTTGATGGTTGATGGACAAAATTTACTTATTTAAATGTTGGAAATCCAAAATGAATCTTGAACTATTGTAAGTGAATTCATTAAAATATATATTTTATATGAGGTATCAAATTTTTAATATTTGATAAGTGAGCTTGATACATCATCATCAATCTAGTATTTTAGACATGAAATATATTGGATGAGGTATCAAATTTGATAAGTGAATCTCATCTTCGCATCTCATGTTTATAAACAAAATAATGGATCATTTCACTATTCATAATTTACAGAAGATTTATTTTTATTTTTGAATTCAAATCTCTATCTTTAAAACATTAAATATCATATTAAGGCCAAGTAATGAAAAAGATTCTCTACTCAAATCTCTTATCTATTAGAAATTAATAAGTTACTCTAAGAATAAATATATGATAAAAATACATAAACAACTACACATAAAACCTCAAAATATATATATAATTAATCTTAAATACTCATGAAACATATATAAATACCAACAACTTAATATAAAATGATAATATATAAATTTATTATGAAACTTATATGTTAGAAAAATAATAATAATTTTTATTCAATAAATAAAATCATACATTAGTCACATGCAACACATCTCGATGATATACATAATAGTCAAATAACAAAGTTATATATCACATACTCTTTCAAGATGAAGAGTTTTACTTGGATGGAAAAACTCATATTACACTTCCAATATAGATGAAGTGGTGTTCTTCACCTATCAAAATGGGAACATATTCGTCTTAATAATTTATGGAAAAATTATCTAATTGCCATTGACAATTTACTAATCTCTAAAGGGAATCATCTTATTCGTCCTCTATTATCCTCCATAGGAATATAATCAATCATAATCATTCATTTATTAATATATGCATACATTAAGTAGTATATTAAAATATTATAAAGAATAATGCTTAATATATGATCTACTAGACTATATTCATTTGTGGCTCTGCATTATAATAGATCCGGAGCTCATTTCATAAGTTTTACTTCTAATATGGACCATTCAACGTAGTAACATATAATACATGATAATAATTATATTAATATCATCAATTTAATCTATAAAAAAAAGAAAAAAATTAATAATTATTTTTAAATAACTCACCCGGATGAAATTATTAATTTTATCAAATCATAAAAATGTGAGGCATCAATCTCTTAATAGTTCTTAATCATGAATCCTAATTGAATAGTTTTACCTAGCTACATGGGTTGATTTACTCAATCAACTTAACTCAAGTTAGATATTAATTTGACACAATTAAATTATATTTTAATATTTTCAAAAGTGCTTTAAAATATTATAAAATAATAATTAATCTCAAATTTATTTTTGTTCATAAATTAACTAATTAGATTCATGATTCTAAATTTAAAACTAATTAAATCATAAAAAAATTACACATAATTTTTTGAAACATAAATATGTCTAATTAAATAAATTATAACTATTATTAAATTAACTAATCATTCTAATATCATATTTAATGATCATTATTTATTAATCATAAAATTTTAAAATTTAAATATTATTATGCATCATATAAATTATAATAATTCTAATGTCAAAAAATTAAAATATGAATTAAAAACTGATAAAATAAATCCAACCTCTCCTCAAGATCCTCTCTTCATGGAATTTTTTCCTCAATCTTCTAGTCAGGCTCAACCAGGAATAAGAGAGGAGTCCTTTACAAAGAAAAAGATTGAACTCTCCCCTTTATATTTTAAAATTGCTTTATAATAAACTCTCAAAGATAGAATTATAATATTTATTTTTTATGGTTCACATATAAAAATAGAATTTTAATTATTTACCTTCTAAAAATCAAATCACTCATTAGAAAATAAATAAATTAATAATTTAGTTAATTTATAAATTTTTAAATTTATGGACATGATTAAAAAATCAATTTTAATCATTTTCTTAGCCATACTATAGATAAAAGGGAGTTAATAATTTAAATAAAATAATACAATATTTATGTTAAGAAAAAAAATCATGATTACAACTTTCCAAAAACACTGTGCAGATATATATATATATATATATATATATATCTGCAAATTTTGTTTTTGTGCATCTTTCAACACCTTTTCATTTTTCATCTCCATCTTGGAGGATTTGGGCATGAGAATCTACGATTTGAAGAGTGAATAAAATAGCATGAAATAAATGTAAGATTCCTTGAGTTCCAAAGCAAGATGAATTAAATGAAGAATATCTCCACTCCAGAAAACTGATGTTTAAGCAACTCAAGCACATTTTAATTTAATACTCTTTTTTCAGTTCCATGACTCTTAGATACATTTATCATCTCAGAATTCCAATGTATAGCACCCAACTTGAGAGAGAGAGAGAGAGAGAGAGAGAGAGAGAGAGAGAAGATGAATTGATTGGAAAGAGACATTTTGATATAAATATTTTAGGGGAAGAAGAACTTCTAGTTGTTTGTGTGGCACAAGAAAGGAGTGGGTGGGGTTTGGTAGTATTGCTCCAAACTCATCCCTCTTTTTTCTCTTTACATGTCTTGAAATAATCATGTATTCATTGCCTAGTAGTGTTTCCAAGGTTAGTTGGATTATAGGTCATGTTGTCGAACAAATCTAACTTAAGGTCATGTATATTTGTTTTATTTTTAAGGCATGTTTGAGAGTAAAGAAGGTGCTTTTATAGATTCCAAGAAATCCCTTATATTATAGTCTTAAAGATAAATAACCAATGGAGAAGAATATTCAATACAAGTGTGAGGTGTGTAATGAGGGGAAATATTCCTCATCTGCAGATGCATTTAACTCATGACAATGCATATTAATGAACTGAGAACATTAAAAGAATGAAATGGCCTAGCAAGATGGTCATGAATCTCCCAGATTGATGACAAGGAAGTCATTAACCAGTCCTTTCTCCAACTATGCTTAAGAAGTCCTAATTTCTTCACCTAAAAACTAAAAAAGAAAAAAAGGGGGTAACACCAGTGGTTCTTCTTTCATTTATTTCTTCACCTAAAAGTCAGCACCAAACTTATGATTTCTTCCAGTTAATTTCCTATTGCTGGAAGTTATCTAAGTAAATCAAATTTTTTGCTTGGCTATGGAGTTTGTGAGATTTAAAAGCACTTGGTTGACTTATTGAAGAATGAGGACTAACTTTCCTTGAATTTGTACTTGCAACTAAAAATGTTCAATCCAAAATTCTGGTCTAAAATAGGAGTTAGGGTCAGTTATCAGAAATGAGAAAATGACAATTGTGATGCTATTTCTTTTGGATGCAAGTCCATTGAAGACAAGTGTATCCTTTTTTGTGAAGCTGATGCAGTGCTGCAGGGGATACAAACCAAAAGGCAGCTGGAAATAGAGCTTGTGTGTAAGTGGAGAATGACAATAGAATTTTGCAGGAAATTATTCAGTGGAAGAGCTCTCCACCTGAAACATTTTGACTGCTTCTCTTGAACACACATGTGGAGAAGCTAATCAATCTGTTAACCAGGTTTCTGGGAGGAGATTGTCCCTCTCAATTTATGGATGTATTGATTTTTGATGCCTCTGACATTTAGAGTTTGTGTTTCATTAAGTAATACAAGTTTCTTTTATTTGGAAAAAATAAAATATGGAGTTCAGATTTGAGTACCTGACCTTCTTGGAGATTAAAGGCTTCACATTTATTGCATAAGCTTTTTCTACAGAACATTGCATAAGGGTTTGACTATTTCAAGCCTTTGTAATTGCAAGAAACTGTGACAGGCATTAATGTCACATCCTCATCTTCAGGGACATGAGTTTCTCTACAAAATTCTCCACATGTACACATACACAATACAGAACTCTGTGAAGGGCATTGTAAGACTGCTGTAACACCCAAGTGACCTTTTTGTCAGCAACACCAACTTTGCCAATATGGATATATCGAAAGATGTCCCACTTCAGCTCTGAGATTGACAGAGGGCAGAGCAGATGAAAAATTAGGATGGTTCCAACTCAAGAAATCAGGCCACCTGAAGAAAATTTCAAGCAGAAAGCAGAGAGAATTGACACCTTTGGATCAGTCTGGTTGGTAGTAGCAGCAGGTGTTATACTTTTTTATTTTAGCAGTTGATGATGAAGGACCACACTATGGCCAAGGACAGTCCAAAAGTCATAGCCACCATGTTCTTCCAATAGAAATAACATGATGTATTACTCATTCAAATCCAGCATGATAGGAGATCACATGGTGGTGGAGGTCAATAATCTTTGTATAATAATATTACGTTTCCAAAGCCAGCATGAAAAATGACAGGTGAAGAAAATGACATGCTTTTATGAGGAGATGAACCTCCAACCCCATGCCTGCTTCCAGTCCAAGGTGGGATTTCTTTTGTGTGTTACTGAACATCACCATCACCTTACCATTTGCTTGATTGCAAAGGAAGACTTCCTCAACTTGCTGTTTAAAATTAACCCTCTGTGATCTTGTGGCAACTCCACAACTGGGTGAATAATCCTTGTATGTTGGTGTGATGTTTCCAAAGCCATGAAATATGATGACAAGTGAAGCAAATGACATTCTTTTACGGGGAGATGTTACTGCCACCACCAACCGGCTATTTGCTTGAATGCAAAGAAAGACCTCCCTCTTGCTTCTTTCATCTCTCTGTGATCTTGTATGATGACTAAGTGAAGAAAATGACATAGTATTAGAAGGTTATAAGCCCATGCCTCCTTCCAGTCCAAGCTGCTGCTTTTATCCCTCTGTGACATCATTGGCAACTCACACAACCGGGATGGGAAAGTAAGAGTGTTGAGAAGAGTTATGGCTTGGGTTCCAACTCCACTGTGCAGACATATAATGCTTGTTTTATGAGCAGCGCAATGAGTGGGGGGTGCATTGATGAGACTGCGTGATGCTGTTTCTTCTTCGCCAAGGATCCTCTTTGACGGAATAGGGTGAAGCCAAATGGATACATGTCCTTGGCCAGCTTTTGCCCTAATAATTCGCCACTGAGGAGGAAGACGGGGGCAGGTGAGCAACGGAAGTGGGAGCTACGACAGTTCCACTCTATAGGGCACCTTTTTATTCTTTTCTATTCCAAAATAAATATTCTAATTAAAGATAATTAAAATGATTAGAGAAGTCATCCCTGTCATCGGAGTGAATCAGAAAGACCAAACTTCCCTCTACAAAAGTTTTCATCCTTGATAGTTCTTCAGTAATCTACCAAACAGTGACTAGCCTTATTCTTCCATATGTATACACATTAAATTGTATTGTAAGATCTCAGAAGAATAATGTTTTCCAATTGAATTGGACAGCAATAATTAAAAGTGAGAACAAGACAGCTGAGAGTACCAAATGTCTTGCAGCAGATGATCCCAATGGAGAAGGGTCTGTGTCCATGAAATGACTCAGAAAAGCTGTAACACTCCTATGTTGTGAAGTATTAGTAGGTTACTCCAATGAAAGGATGATAAGCTGCAAAACTTTGACAGATAATTTTGGAGAGAATACAAATCACATTTGGAAAAATAAGGTTTTAACTAAATAATTTGGACATCAAATAATAAGCTCAGAATGATAACGTGCTGCAGCAATAAATAGCACAGCAACCCAACTCTTTCATGCGAACGAAGACCGGTCACTTGTATAGAGTAATGAATAATTGTAAATTTGCTATACAGAGAATTTGTGAGGCTATGTTGAGAATAGGTTTACATAATTTGACTACTAAAACAGATTAGTTTTTAGTAGATCCCCTGAAATCCGAGAAAGCAACCATTAGTAGAACTTCAATGTGTTGTTACCTTCATATTCTCTGCTACGAACCAAAGCCAAGCAAAGTGGGTGCCAATTGTAAGAGAGGCTCCAGTGTGCTTGGAGCAAACTTCCTTGCGAAAAGGTGACAGAGAGATGAAGGTTGGTTATTGTATGAACAATTTTGGCCCCCAAGGATTTTCTTGAGAAATGCTTCTGTTACATCGACCCCGCCGAAGGTTGCTGGGTGAGCACCACCTCTTGACCAGTCTACCCATGTAATGCTTCTGTTGGCCAAAAGATTGGCTGATTCTATGAAGAGCATCGTAGGGAAGTAATGTTCATCCACATAACAATGTGGCTTGCAGAACCTTTTGAATTTTGGATAGTAAGTAGCATCTTTGACTATGCTAAGAGCCAGTTTCCTATTCACCTCAAACCACTGAGATGCCTTACGCCATTGGTCGATGTTCACTTCTGGTGCCATGTTCGGGTTATATCTTCCCCTTCCATATGGACCTGGATCATCAATCAGCCCGACAAAGCTATACCTTGATCTTATCAAGTATTGGTAGGTGATGTTGAAATTTGATAATGGAATGCACGACTCAGACAACAGCACAAACCGTTCATTCGACAGATCAAGTAATGCATTTGCAAGGAGCCGTCTTTCAGCATCACACATACTCATCTGCCCCCACTCAGACACCTATGCATTAGATGTTTAAATCAATTGAGAGTCCAATAAAACCATTTGTCTAATGAATTAGATATAAATAAAAGACAATGCAATTCCCAGTATTTTAAAAGTTCATACTGGCAACATTATCACAAATGAGTAATTAACAAAATTGCTCCCACCATGTCATTTTGAGAAGACTAACCATAACAACATTCTATAAATTGATTACCCCATGATTCCTCGAGTCAAAAGATAAATAAACCAAACTAATTTATGACAAGAAAAGCATATTCTTAATCGAATCAATCTATGATATGAAAAAATACATCATGGTTGTCCTTGCACCAGAAAATAATTCTGGAGTGTTGCTTGATCAGGTTCTGGAGGCTTGTTGACCTCAATGTTGCAGAAATCTGATGCCGCTGTAAAGTATAACATGTATTTATTGGGAAGTGTTGTAACTCCTAGGCTAGTTATCCTACAGCTGAACCAAGCACTCTTTTTGGTCCAACCTATTCTAAACACTCATAAACTGATTATCATCTTCAAGAATCAACAGTATGTATTATATCTAAATAGGTCACTCAAAAGCATGGTTTTACAATACCAGTCATTGTTCGAATCAATCCCAGGATTTCTTGTCCAGACTAATTTGATTTTAGACCATACAACACTCAACCTTACCAAAAATTAAGAGTTAAATGCATTTGCACTAAATTCATCAAGCTCCTTTCATAAAAGTCGCCTATCATGATGTGATTGTGTCACGACCCGAGCTTATAAGCTAATTGGTCCATCAACTTCGTTTAACCTAAATCACGATCAAAATGCTTAAGCTGAAGTTGATAGTAGTACACTCATCATATCCTCATAAGTCAATCTTAATTTTACCTCTTCTGATGTAGGACTAATCGAGATGTTATAATTTTTCCCACTCAAGGACTTGTCGTCCTCGTCAAGGCCCAACGTAGCTCAGATCAAATCCTAACATTGTGCATGTAAAGCGTAGCCCAGTAGTGGCTCTACGTCATGACGAGTCCTCTAACTCCATCCACAGGTAGCCGTTTCATACTCGATCTCCCCACCATACCCAAACACTAGGTCAGCTCTAATATTAAATGTCACGACTCGGGCCTGATAAGCTAACTGGCCATCAACTTCCTTTGACCCAAACCACTGGCCAAAATGCTTAAGCTGAAGTTAATAATAGTACACTCATCAGACCCTTATACGCCAATCTTAATCTTGCTCACTTTCGATGTGGGACTAATCAGGGTGTTACAATTTCTCCTACTCAAGACCAAAATTGGCTTATAGAGGTCTGATAAATATACTACTATCAACTTCAGCTTAAGCATTTTAACCAATGGTCTAATTAGCCCACTAGGCCCAAGTCGTGACAATTGGGATTTAAGCATGGTGAGAGGGTTCAAGTAAGAAAGGGCTACTTATGGATGGAGTCAGAAGACTCGTCACGGTGTGATACCACTACTGGGCTATGCCTCATATGCACCATACTAGGGTTTGATCTGGGCTATGCAGGGACTTAACAAGAACTTCAAGCTCTTAAGTGGAGAAAACTGTAACGTAACACCCTGATTAGTCCCACATCAGAAGTGGAAAAGACTAAGATTGACTTATAAAAGTTTGATGAGTATACTACTAACAACTTCAGCTTAAGTATTTTGATTAGTGGTTTAGGTCAAATGAAGTTGATGGGCTAGTTAGCCCATTAAGCTTGGGTCATGACAGATTGTCTTTAGATCTCTGTTGTATCTCACACAATATATGAATCAACTTTTGTTCTATGAGGCATTTAGATCATCAGTCGAATATGCATATTAAGCAAAATAAAAGTACATTAAAGTTCACAATGGACCAACTTGAAAACTTATCAATTGCATCAATGTACATTACAATAGTAGTTTTGAATGCACAGAACAAGACAAGCAAGCCCAAGGCACCTTGATTGCATCAAGATAAAACCAATCCATCACAGTGCACCTCATTTGGACATAAGCACCAAGCATGAAAACTAAAATAATATTGATTAAACCTACACACGAATTTGTATATTGATTCCGATGCCAAATTCTAGAATTCCCTAACCTGCGGCAAGAAATGACTGGCAGCAACATGTGCTACTGTAGTGTTGTGCGCTGCTCTGTAGCTTGGGCCAAGTCCATGCTGGACCAAGGACAGTGATTTCAATAGGCGCTTGGGCGAGATGAGGCGAGGCCCAAGCGTCTCGCTTCATTTCCAGGCGGCACGCTTCAAAGAGGCACCGCCTGGGCGCTCGCTCGAGCCCAGGCGCCAGGCGCTTTGGGCGAGCGCCCGGGTTAAACCAAGCTACCGAACAATAATAATTGTTATTGTTTTGAATTTTGAGATTTTTTGTTAATGTGATATTGTGATTTTGTAAGATTTTTTCAATTTAATATCATATTTTTATTTAAATAATTATATTTATTAATTATATTATATATTTTTATATTTTAGCGCCTCGTTTCGCTCGGGCGAGCGCCTAGCACCTCGGGCGTATTTTGGACCTTGGCATTTTTTTAACGGCTAGCGCTTTTTAAATCACGGACCAGGGATCAGCAGGCTAAGACCAAGTTGGCATGGCATGATTGCAGGGATGTCTTCGCTCAAGCATGAACTGGCCTATCCTGACATATGGCTTGGCACATGGGCTGACCCATCCTGGCCTCACACTTAGTTTCCCCATCTTGCAATATCATCTAGCCCGTTACCATCTTCTTCTACTCCAATCTTCCCCTAATCCTGACTTCCTCCCTCCTCTGCAGCCCTTCCCTGTTCCTCCTTTCGATCTCCCTTTTCTCCAGAAGGGGAGATCATGACAGGCTCAATTTATGTTCCTCCGGAAGTTATCTGTAAGAGTCCTTAGTAATTGAGAAAAGAAGTCTATCACAAGTAAGATAGAGAAGGTGTGATATACTGCATATCGAATATCTACATTAGATTCTACAATAAACAAAATTTTCACCAATTTAATATCCCAAACATTACATTTTTTCCTATCTCCTCTGATACTTTTACTTTTCCTATCTTTGTTGCCATTGAGTCCTTCAGAAAATTCGATCAACAATAGGCTACTAACATGATCCAATTAAAATTAGCAACTTACAATAGAGTATGATACCACTCTTTTGGTAGCTGATGAAGCCACATGAACAAGGCCAGACCAACTGATTGCATACACTTCGAACGAAGGACGTTGATAGCCTGTGGCTAATCCTTCTTAACGTCTATCTAAGCAGTAACCTAACATAAGTACACCCTAAAATTAGTACAACCAACCCTGGATAACTTTTTATTAATTCAAGCGAAGAAGATAGCTATAAATTTAATATTTAAATTTGACAAGTTAGGATTCTCGGTTTCCATGGGAGAAGGAAGTTAATTTTGATTTAACATTATTCTTTACAAGACACTTTCTCATTTTTTTAACTGTCAATCCATAGATGCTCTGCAAAGCAAAGAATATTGACTTGTCATATAAATGGCACAAACTAATCCCAAGTATGACAGTGTCAGAAACATCCATTCTCAGAAAATCTGCATTAGCACAGGGTTGGATAAACCACATGGACAACTCGTCCTCGAGTAACATCTAACCCAAGGCAGCCTTGTGCGCGATATCTCTGCTAAAAGCCAACTGACTGAAAGCTGAGACACTCAAGCAAACTTAAGAAATGTCCATCAGACATTTTATTTAAGCTATTCCCAAGATGCAATTTTATAGATTTGGTACGTTATCAAGGACGATCCACAATACAAAGCAGCAAAAATGTTAAAAGCTTCAGTTTTTTGAGTGGGATGATGGATAGAATACCTTACTAGGGATCTGCCTCTTGAAGAAAACGGAGTCCGAAGTGAAGTTAATCTTGTAAGACGGATGCGTATGGACGTAGATCGAGTAACGGCCTTCGTTCCCTCTGAAGAACCTCTCCCAGAGAGGGGAGAGCGGGAGAGGCCCCCTGGTCAAGAACATGAACGCGACTTTGGGAACCCACTTGAACGGGTACTTCTTCACCAGCGGCACCCAGGACGCCCGCCAGAAGAGCTCTTCGTCGCTCATCGAGTGCATCAAATCGGACGGCGGCTGGATCCATCGCTCCAGGCCGGCCGGCTTCTCGACGCAGGGCCGGAAGGCAGCGACAACAGGGGCGGCGACCTGCAGCCGCGTCAGGTACATGCCGAAGACCGAGAATCCGACGCCTAGGGCGAGGAGAGGCAGCAGGACCTTAAGCAGGAGCCGCCGGGAGGCGCGGGGCTGGGCGGCCCTCGCCTGAGCCGACTCCTTCACGTCCTCGTACGAGGAAACCCTCAACTGCATCCTCGCGAGATCAGGGTTTCACCATCTACCAAGACTACAGACGCAAGAAGTCTCCTACTTGATCAGCAACGGGAGAGGACAAGATCCAGATAGGAAATGGAAATCCCGGGAGATTTGGTAGGAGATACCAGTCTGTTTGGGCGTTGCCAGGGATGCAAGGTGCGGAGTCTTCGCGAACGGGACGGCGCGGCGGCTGAGGTTGTGAGCCCAAACGTATCAAGTGAGGGCTGATATGGGGCTGGGCCGAGATAATGTGGGCCGGGCTAAAACCACGCCACACTAATTAAGATGGGATAGGCATTAATTAATCAAATTAATGCGCATAACACACATTAAATATTAAATACTGATATAACCATAGTTTTCAATCAATGAGGGCACAACACGTGGAATCTTATACTGCACCTATAGAAGACTATAAACTTATTCGATATGTCGCATCAATAAAATATTTAAATGATATATTCTTTCGTTGAATTATCTTATAAGATTAATTATATATAAAGTAATTTTTCATATATATATTTTTTTATTTAAAATAAATTGAATTAGTATTTATAGTTTTAATGACTATGAATATGTACTAATTCGATCGTTAAAAGAATTTTGTTGGATAAATCATCGATATAATCATTCACGTAAGTCACTCGCTAAGTCAAATTATCTTTGTTTCGTTTTGTTTCGAAAAATTATTTTATCAAGTTATCAATTTTGTTGGATTTTGTTTCGTTTCGTTTCGAAAAATATATATTTTCTTCGTGCGTCGGTAAAAAAAAACATATTTTTTTGGAGAGAGAGACTATTTTTCTATTTCAATAATGTCTAATCTTTTTTTTTTTGGAATAAACGGCCTGGATAGGACTGAGGTCTTCTATAGGTTCAAATCCTATTAGACGTAATTTATTTATCAATACATAAATGTATAACTCCTCAGGAATTTCAATTGTGCTTATATCCATCACTATAGGAATTGGGTTCGAGCTTTTCCCGAAAAGTTAGATAGGTTGGCGGTTGACCCCTACTTAAGGACTAACATAATTTACCAAAGTAATTTTATAAGGATAAGACGTTGCCACCAAGATAAAAAAAAAAAATATATCATACAAAAGAATTACCTTTTTACTATATTCTTTGTTTACTTGGATGTATATTGTTGGATATAGTTGATGCCTTGATGCATCTATCCAAAGGCATTGTGTCCACTAGAAGGTTCCAAATGGCCTTCAATCGATTGGTCGACTTGGATGTATCCTTGACTTGTATCACTGCAAAGCCCTTACACTGACTTTGGAAATGATTGACAAATAGAACCTTTGATCAATTCAAATAAGGATTCTTTGCTCCAAAAGAAGGTTGATTGTGACTCTGACCTTTATCCCTTGAGACACCAATTGCCCTTGGAAGAGATGAACTTGATACCACCATCCTAGTGATAGTTCGAAGTCCTTCATCACCATTTCACTTCTTAGATTGATCCCCATGCCGCCACTGAACTGAATGATACTTTTAAGGAGGATGTTACTCCTTATAGTTCTTAGGTCTTTTCCCTCGAGGTGCAATGTAGAGAGCACAAATGTATGTCATTTATGCACAATGAGTTTGTTTATCGAGGGCACAATAAAAAAAAAATAAATCCATTTATATATAATATATTTTTTTGTAAAAAAAATATATGTAAGAAGCTCGATGTATCAGTTTAGGATTATTAAACTTGTAAAACATTTGATATTGATGAGGGTGATAATTACGATAAGACTTGTGTGACGCCCGCTGACGCCCAGCACCCATGTCGGACTGACAATGCGTAGCTGACACGGGTCGTAACGCCAACCGAGGCGCATTAACGATCGCTCAGGCTCGATCCCGTACGTCACGCCAACAGTGATGTCAAACGTCATCAGAAGGTACGATCCTACCCCCTGCGAGTAGGCACATCAGGTAACACTGAACTCCCCTATAAAGATCCTTGTATTTTAAACGGGAAAAGGGGGGGACTTCCACGATCATCGTCTAACTTAACCATCAGAGGGGTCAGGTCGAGCACCCCGACTCGACCTGCGTGCAGGGACGAAGGCGAAGCGCCCCTCTCCGGGCGCGTCGGCAAGGAGCCCCTTCCCGAAGGAAACGACGACCCGTCATCCGGACCCAACTTGCGTGCAGGGACGAAGGCGAAGCACCCCTCTCCGAGCGCGTCGGCAAAGAGCCCCTTCCCGAAGGAAACGACGACCCGTCATCCGGACCCGAACCGAGCCGCGTCCGCCCTGAGGCCACGGCTAAGAAGTTGTTTACACCAACAGATGTATCTCAAAATATATATCTCATTTATAACTAATATGTCTATCTAGTGCAAAGAAGCTATGAATCACCTGGCATAATCCAAAGCAATCCTTTTGTATCTGATGTATTCGTGAAAGACTAAATATTTGAAGAGCTTGATGTATCAGAAAAATTATCTTTGTTCATAATATATCCTTCGTTTATGATATGAAAATAACTAAAGTATAATTTAGTCATCGTCCAATAAAATTGAGAACAAGTAAAAAAGAAATATATAGGTGATAATGATTAAAGATAATATTTAATCTAAAGATCTAAACATTAATTTTCAAATACTTAATCCTTGATCAGTGAGTAAGTATCATACATTATTATAGCATATATAGACCAATACTATTCAATACAAATTTATTATTAGAAACCACTTTCACTGTTAACTAAGGCATGCTAACACAATAATCATCATCTTTTAGTAAATTTTTGGTGACACAATCACTTCGATCTTTTTATTTTACTTACCTGATAACTGAATTAATTAATTTGATGAGTCTAAACTATGGCTTAAAGATATTTAAACCATAGTTAAAATTAGTGGATTCATTTAATTTTATAAATTAATCCATGCTTTTCCTATATCTGATATGAGAGGGTGTTGTATTTTTATCTTTCTTTTAGGAAATAATAATTGATTAACTAATTATGTAGTTAATTTATCTTAATAATTTGATTGCCACTAATATATGATATATTGGATTGAAATATCATAAAATGGTATTCCTAATATAAGATTTCAATGGAGTCATTCAAATTTATATTTTTATTAATCCTAATGGCATTATCTTGAACAAATTAACATCAATTTAGTCATCATATAATAAATTTGATTCTTTCTTGTATCATTAATTTAAAAGTTAATTATATATTATTTTTTGTAATTAACTATTTTTAGTATCTCGATCTTTATATTTTAAAAAGTTACATTGAATATTTAATCCGTTGCTCCGATAAAATCCTTTTCTCTTGATTTTTAATCTTATAAAATTATTTTTATAATCTTATATAAGAATCTTAATATTTTATTTTTTTAATATAATTTTTAAAATATAAAGATCAAAATATTAAAAATAATTAATTATAAGAGATAATGTATAATTAGAAGAAGCCTTTGGACCGATACCTTTCATGGGCTTCCATCTAAGCCCATAAAGGACCGCCCAGCTTACTTTATTCGGCTATGTAAGCCATATCTCTAACCATCCCGCAGCATTTGCATGATGACTGAATGCGATGCGGTGGGGGTCTTCGAAACCGAACCCCGTCGGCGCTGCAAATTGACCGCTTTGTTCCCATTGGAAGCAACACCATCAACACGGACGACGACGAAGAAGAATAACCACCGCCATGTCATGGCTGGCGAGGTCTCTGGCCGACTCCCTCATCCCCGATCACCGCAGCGATAGCGGAGCCGACGAGATCGCTGCCCGGGCTGCAACGGCCGAGTCCAGACCCCTCGGATCGGATGACGGAAGCGGCGAGGAGGAGGTCGATCCGAGCCGTGGCGTCAAGGAGGACCTCTCCGAGCTCTCCAAAACCCTAGCCCGCCAATTCTGGGGCGTTGCCTCCTTCCTCGCCCCTCCTTCCCAATCCTCCGACGGCGATTCCGGCCGCCGCCACGATCCCCCGCCCCCCAGCGACAACGGCCAGGCGGAGGCCTCCGATTCCGCAGCGATGACTGGGATCCGGTACGATTTCGCGGAGATCGGTGGGAGATTCAGGTCTGGGTTCTCCAAGATTTCTGGCAATATGGGCGTCTCGGAGATATCCAAGATTGCCTCCAATTTTCTTCCGCTTCAAGCCGAAGAAGAGGACGAAGAGGAGGAGCAGGAGGAGGAAGAAGACGATGATAGCTTTAGTGGCGGCGCTATTGGCATCACGGAAGAGGTCATGGCGTTTGTCCGGAACATCTCGATGCATCCGGAGACATGGTTGGATTTCCCACTGCTATCAGATGACGAAGATTCTGATGGTAATCTGTCTTCTTCTGTTCACATTGATCTGATGTAGATATCTTCCGTTGTCTATTTGCCTAATACAAATAGGTTAGGAGGCATGGTAACTTCACTATATTGTTTGCTAAATTGATGTTAGTTGCATAATACTCATTCTCCTTTTTTTAGGTTTAATCCACGAGTAAATTGTTGGTGGAATGATGGAATGCCTGCAGTACTTCAATAATGATTACTCCTCAGAATTGATTTTTGGTCAATTTTGATACTTAATTATGATGGAATGCCTGCAGTACTTCAGTAAAGCTTCCTTGGAAGTTTATCTTCCACAGAGTTAGGTTGGCGTGACATGGTTTTTGTTGCTATGCAGCTACATAATGTTTTCGGGAACTTGTCAGCAGTGTTAGTTTTGCTAAAAGGAGCTGTGTCCCTAGTCCATAGTTCTGAAGGCCAGTGTTGCCAGTCCATGTTCTACTAAATATCACTACTTCCACTCTTATTGGAATCAGAGCAATTTATTTGCTAGATTGCCATGCTGCCTGACCTTAAGTAAAGACATGCTACATATTTGTGTAAATTTTATAAGGTGATTTATTGTCAAAATTAGGACAAAATTATCAGATTATGTGTTGGGTGGTTGATTACTAATTTTATATAATGGATATACTTTAGGAGAAACATGGCATCAGAGGAAATTGAGGGGACCTTCTCTATCTCTAATGGCAACAATTTAATTGTTGTTGTTGAATTTGTAATACAAATATAGTCACAAGGGAAAACAAAATCAGGTTCCCCTGTCATCCTTTTGAGCATTGTTTCATGGTGTTGAATGTTGTGTGCAGCTCAAAGTTGAGAAGGTACCACGTTGATTTAGATAAAATTTCATGATTAACTCTAAACCTGATGTTAATCGTTTGAATCTGTAACAAGTTCTAATTCAAGAACTCGACCGATGAGGGACTATCATAAATCCATTAGTGGTTGGTTTATAGGAAAGTGTATCTTTGTGTTTCATTGATTTGTATGAAGATTTAACCTTTTCTGTTTGCAATTTTAGTATTAAAATGAAATCCTGACAAGGGACAAGATAACTTGAGAATGCCCCAAAATAATAAATCCTTTGTTTTGTTTCTCCAAAGAACAAACCTTGAGTTTTCAGCGAGAGGCAAAGTTCAAATCTGAATCTGCCTCGAAGATGGAAGTTATCGATTTGTTGTGAAGATCATGTTGTTTTATAAAGGATTTATAAACCCAACCTGAGTTAGTCTGAAATATTGTGGTTCGTGGTGGTATTGTTTTCTGGAACAGATGGTACCTGATCATTGGTCTTGGAACATCTCGGATATGGAACACTGTTCAATTGTTGCTATTAGACTTCATAATACTATTTAAATTCTTATTTGTTCCAACAATGAGATCTTTCCTATCTTACAGATAACTGATAGATTATCACTATTTGTATATCTTACAGATATCTGATAATTTATCACTATCTTTCCTATCTTACAGATAACTGATAGATTATCACTATTTGTGTATCTTGCAGATTCATTTGTGTGCCAACTACTGTATCCATTTTATTGCTGAAACAGGGAGAAGTTTTTTTATGGTTGCTTCTCTTGATATATTTAAGCATGGATGCCTGACATATTTTAACTAGGTTCAAGAATTTTATTAATAGATTTTGTTTTCAATTTTTGTCTGTTCTTCAGAGTGCTGGATGTTTGTAGCTTATTTAAATACTTCTGTTTTCTTTTAACAACCGCTTCTTTCTTCTTTCATCTTTTAGATTTTGAAATGTCTGATGCGCAATTAGAACATGCACTGACCGTTGAACGCCTTTCGCCAAGATTGATTGCTTTAAGAATTGAACTTTGTCCAACCCACATGAGCGAAGGGTACTTTTGGAAAACCTATTTTGTGCTTTTGCATCCTAGACTCAATAAGCATGATGCCGAACTTCTCTCAACACCCCAGGTAGGTTGCTTATTCTTAACAAGATATTCTCTGGTATCTGAAATGCTTTGACTAATTTCTCTTTAGATATGACATATTGCTTGAAATTTCTTAATGAGAAAGCACCTTGACATATAAACTTCACTGGAAATGAGAAAATGGACTGTTCTGAAAGAAGTTTTAAAAGTCATTAATTTGGTGGAAAATCAATACTTACAATCATATAACATGGTGATGGCTATATAGACTTGGTTATAAATCTTAATAAAGGGTAGCACCATTATGTGCGGTTAACTGTTTTGGGTGAAGTAACAAGCTTTTAGTACTTGAGCTTCACATTCTATGCTTAAGCTGATGGACATTAGGAAATGATGGCTACAGTAATAATGCTGGTGATATTGAAAAAGACCATGTGATCAAGGGGCTTGATGAAAGCCTAGTGGACATGGCAAATAAAAAGGAAGAAGAGAAAAAGGGTAAAAAAAAGTTAATTTTTAGCTGACTCAGATAACCAGTTCAGATATGATTTGATGGTCAGCTTTAGACTTAGCCATGGTGATATCTTTGGTTTTCAGCCACCCAGTGTTATAGAACTAAGATCATTTCCGAATTTCTAACAGCCAACTCGAGCTTATTTTCTTTGTCTCTTAGAATTTTAATCTTTAATATTGATCTAATTACTTTTAGAAATGTTTTGATAAAACAAATTCACATATTCCAGAAAATCTGGATGCATTTCTTTCAATTCAAAATTGTCCTGTGTCACTTATTGACATGCTTCCAACATATCATATAAGAAGATGCTATATGCTTCTGATTAGAATATAGCATATGATAGGTTTTTCTGATAGGATGAAAGGCAAGAAAATTGATTCCAAGTGGTCTAGTATACTTTTATTTTAATTGGCATCTCAAAACATAGTATCTAGTGTTTTCAATGTCATGCATACCGTAAATTAAGATAACTGATAAGAGGAGTCTTCATTTTTTAAAATTTTGGATCTCATAAAATCTTATCTGAAACACATCTAGATCTCTGTATCTAAAGGCACATCTAAAATCTTTTTTTTCATTCTTTTAAAAAATGGCTCATTTGAAGATTATCCATATCTGCAGGTCGTGGAAGCCAGAGCCTTGTTGCTACAGAAACTGCAGAATCAGAATAAATCAGATTCACAGAGGCTAGTTGATGTCTACAGGAAGTCGGAGGAAACCTCATTTCCACCTTTAAAGCAGGTCACAGCATCGACAGATGCTTATGAAACCTCATCAACTGAGAGTCAGCAAATCATTTACACTGAGAAGTACCCAGTTCAAGTAGCACATATAGAATTCATTGACAAATCCATTGTCGAAGAAGGGCCACCAACATCACGCCTTGTGGAACTCAGCATTGTGTCTAACGCATCCATCGAAAGGTCGGATGATGATGATGATGACGACTGGCTGAAAGATGAAACAGGAGATATTGATTGTTCAGGGAGTCTCACCATTGCTATGTACAACGAGGACGTGTCTTTTAGTGATCTTGAGGAAGATGAACCTGATGCACCTAAAGCTCTGAAATGATTGTTCAGATGATCCCATAGTTTTGACGTCACATGTATGGTATTGTTTTCTTCAGATTATGAACTGCTGCTTATCGAATGGGAAACACCTTTGTGTATTATTCTTTTTCATTGGTAACTTGCTGTCTTGTATATATTGCCCACTGTTTAGATTGTTTTATTTGTAGATTCTGAATACCTCTCATCCTGTTTCGTTAGATGTGCTTTGTTATTAGAAGCAAAAGATTCTCTTGTGCCCTGTACATGCTTATGTTGTGATCAACCTGACTCAATTTCTATATGTAGTGCATCGTACAATGCAATCCTAACCTCTGGTTGTCGCTCTCCTTTCACAATTGAAGTCATCCGATATCATCAACTGAAACGTTAAAATTATTTTTATTTTTTATTTTATATTTTTATTAATAAAATCGAATAAATAAAATATAGTTAGAAATTTAAATTTCATAATTTTAAAAAAATTAATATAATTTTTTAAATCTAAAAAATCGAAATGCTAAGGAGGTCCATCAAACATACTTTGCCATTTTATTACAAGAGGTGATTGACGGTCCTTAGTGTGTCCACTATCCACAAGTTAGTAACTCACAACTTTGTAATTTCAACTGAAACTTAGATTGATTCACTCATCATGTCGAATAACGTTATCAGTCAAGCTCCACTGCGATCCTTTAAAATCTGTGCAGTGCTGATAGTTTTCATGGCTTATATTTGTGCTTAGAAAATACTTTCGTTTTTCATTACTAAATTGTCTCAAGTAAATAACAGAGAGCGAGGCGCGTTCACAGAGGTTCCGGGTGCAGCAGCTTTTGCCACGTGTGTAAGTTCATAGCCGTTAAGTAACCCCTTTCCGTTACTGGAAAGATTTGCTGTGTGTCTTCGTCTCCACCACCACAAAGCTGACAGCGGGCCGCGTGTGGTGCTCTCCGAATTAGGGCTTCTCCTTCTCCTCCACTTCATCCTCGAGGTGATCAGTTATGGCGATCCTCTCGCCCCGATCGCTCGCGTTGTCTCTGCCTCGCTTATCGCCCCGCTCCTCGCCGCCGTTGCGGAAGCCCTCCGTCTCTTTGACCGATCTCTCCGCTCCGTCCCTCCCCCGTCGCCTGCCGCTTGCGGTCCGCCGAGCTGCATCAGCGAATCCCTCTCCCTTGGCCGCCGCCGATGCGAGCACCTGGGAGGTTCTTGGCGGCGTCAGTGTCTTGGCGGCGTCCACCGGTGAGCCCGTGTTGTTTAAGGATCTGTGGGACCAAAACGAGGTGTGAGGTTGCTTCTGTTCTTTCTCTAATCTTATAGCAAATACGCAAAATTGATTGCTTGTTGCTCCTTCTAAATCGGGTAACCTGTTGTGGTTGAGCTCCTTTTTATATAAATCGGTAAGAATTAATTCCTCTTGGGGTAGTGTCAGGGTGAAGTCCGACCCTGCTTCTCGCAAAATTTGTACCTTTTTCTCGAAATCTATGTAAATTATGTTCCGAATTTTAAGCTTCATGCCATAGACACTCAGTATCTGCCAATAGAGCATCTCTAAGGGAAATAGAGCAACTAGCTTCTTGTGGGTACTAATCGTCGTATAATCTATCAAGGAGATCTGTTGTTGGATTCATTATTGGTTGGGGTCGTGATTTAGTGGATAGTATTTCTATAAAACTAAAAATCCTCTCCTGTTCTACTGTTCTCCTTAAGCATAAACTACTACACATCATATCCTGACTAATATCAAGATGAGATTAGAGGATATGCTTGTTCAGAGCTTCTTGTCTGAGCAGAATATTTAAATCATTTAAAATTCTAGAGTGGATATTGTGTTACAAGGTTTTAGCAATGAGTCTGTTTGTGACTAATGTTCTTGATTTTTAATTATGTGTATAAAACTTTCAAAGAGTTTTTCACCACAGTCTACTGAAATTTGTTAGATTTTTTTTGTTGTTGTGTCTTTTGTAAGAAATAAATATTGGTTCTAAGTTTGAGACTGTGTAAAACTTAATGTGAAGAAAAGAAAAGTCTAGGTTTCAAGTTTTGACAAGCATTTCTCTTGTGTCATCCCTGAATAATAGGAATTTTCTTTTTGTCTTATCAGGGAGTAGCTGTGGTTGCACTTTTAAGGCAATTTGGATGTATTTGCTGGTAAGAGAGAATCCTTTGAAGTCAACTAGTTGTAGGACACACAATTGGCTGATAATATATCTTCTTTCCTCTCTTCATCAATTAGTTGGGAACTTGCTTCAGTTTTGAAAGACTCAATGCCAAGATTTGATTCGGCTGGAATTAAGCTAATTGCAGTTGGTGTTGGTACTCCTGACAGAGCTCGCATTCTTGCTGAACGGGTGATGATCTTACTGGTTTTGTATTTCTTTTTTAACAAATAGAATTTAATAAAGCATGGATTCTTTACTTGCATAAATATAATTACATGAATTGTCATGAAAGTGAAATCCTAGTTGTTGATTTCAGTTTGGTTGAAGTTACATTATTACTCATTGTCTATTCTTATAAATTAGACAGGTTTTCAACTAAATCTCCAGTTCTTGTTCAACATGCTGCAATTTTACTGCCGTCTAGTGACTCTAATCTAGTCTCAGTTACAAGCCTTGTTCAGAAGTTGAGTTGTTGGAAACATTTAATAAGTTTAGCAAGGAAGTGAAGTTACTAAATTTAGTTCTTTTCCCTTTGATTGGAAAGCACTTTGGAATTGGTGAAATGGTTTTCTTGTTTTAGGGAACTTTCATCAACTGTGCAGTCAATGTTGGTAATTATTGGGAAAACTAAATAAATTATAGACATAACTTGTATGTTGGGGAAGTTGCTTATGCGGCATGAAATACTTATATGCATCATCAATTACATTCAACATTCAAGAAACATGGTGCTTTTATCTTAAGTTCCTCAAAGTTCACATCCTAGTTTGCTTTTTGATGTGTTCTGTAAAATAAATCTAATTGTTATTGTTAATAAAATTGTTATGCCATCTTTAACCACTAAATTATGCTAATTTTGTTGTTCGACAGCTGCCCTTTCCCCTGGATTGCCTATATGCGGACCCAGATAGGAAGGTAATGGACCATGTGACATGTTCCTGTTTCACTTGCAATTCGCGAGAATAAATTCTCTTGATTTTATGTTTCCAGGCTTATGAAGTCTTGGGCTTGTATTACGGTTTGGGCCGCACTTTTTTCAATCCTGCCAGTGTATGTTCCTTGTTTGTTCTACATTAGTTAAAATTGGGTATCTGTCTACTTGAGTGAAGCTGCTAATTCTTTCGTCGTTATTCAACAGGCCAAGGTGTTTTCAAGATGGGATTCTATCAAAAAGGCAGGCAAGAACTATACCATTGCAGCCACTCCGGATGATAAGGCCAGTGTCCTGCAGCAGGTTGTTCCTTTCTTCACTTACTCTATCCAGAGCTCAGATCACTTGCATCTGGACTTTCTTACAATATTTTATCTTCTTTCAGGGTGGTATGCTTGTATTCAGAGGGAAGCAGTTGTTGTATGCAAGAAAAGATGAAGGGACGGGTGATCATGCACCTTTAGATGAAATCTTTGACATATGCTGCAGAGTCCCAGTTGCATAAACTTGGACAACTATCATGCGTAATTAACTTAAATAGGTGAGTTCTATCATGAGCTCTATTTTAAACTTGTTTCAAGGTTAAGTCGGTATCTTCTCATAGATTGCTGATAATGCCTTTATGCATCTTGTTTTAAATTGCACTTTTTAAGCTGTTACCAATTCCATTGGATTATAAGTAGTTTTTTAGCCAACACATTATACATGTTCTTTAATTTCAGCTACTGTATCTGGCCATGTAAATTTGTTTGTGTTCATATGATAATTCAATACTTTCCTTTTCTAGAATATTATCAATCTACAATTTAATATATGTTGTTAAAACATTTACTTCAACATTCAACATTCCCTTTTTAACCTTCTCATCTTTGATTACCCCAAACTTGATTGATTATGTAAGGTAAAGCAGTAACCTGGTGATAAAGTTATGAGAAGATGCTAATACTGTCAAGACTTGCTCTTTTCTACCACCAACAAGTTATTACACTTTATATTATACAAGGTAGATCCGTTCATCTTTCTCCTGCAATTCTCTCTTTTGATAAAGTTAAATATTCAAGATCTTCCAACGAGGCTTAAAGTTTTGTCTTGTATGTTCCATGCAGTTGCTCAAGTTTGTGTTGCAGAGGTGGCGATCTCGGACCTGTCCTGTTCGCTATGCTCAATAAGGTAATTATTATGGCATGTATTCATCAAGTGAAAATTAATTTAATAAGATAGTATATGTGTTTTAGTTGTGTTTTCAATTTCTCATCGACACAAATACAGATAAAATCTCGTGTTTATCATCTTAACACTTGCCTACTGAATCTATCATGTAAGTCACCCTCACCAACATTCTTCTCTTGTGTGATTTGCTTTCAGAGGTCTTTTTTATATGTTTGCTTGTGCAATGGATTGATGGCATAGAACTCTATAAATGATGGAGTATTCTGACCTTTAGAATCATGATCTTAAATTTATTTAATATCTAATAAATTCATTTTTAATAGAAAATAAAGATATTAGAAGCATGAAAAGGTCATAACGTAACATGGTGTGTTCCCAACAACTCATAACATGTTGTCATAACATAAAATGCTACTTCCTCAATTATTCTTAGTTTATATTAATGTAATTATGTATAATTTGTTATATTAATTTGAAAATCATGTGTAATATTATAGACTGTCGATCTCAAATAATTAGGATTTTCGACTTTTCTTGTTGTCCTCGTCGTCGTCCTCATCCTCTAATAATATAGATTAAGATAGGCCTGATGAAGACATGACATGAAGTAATTGTGATCACATATTAGTTCGGCAATGCAGACTTACATGTGTATGATAACACAGGGACTATGCAATCTAGTTTAATCTATCAAATTAATGTGTCATTTATCTCACCCCCAAAGCCCTTCGTCCCCGGGAGCCTTTTCTCAGTTGTGTTTGGTTTGTTGATCGATCAAATTAATGTGTCATTCATCCCACCCCCAAAGCCTTTCGTCCCCTGCGACCACCGAGCCTCCTCACTGGTGTTCTACTCTTGGTCAGTTCCGTCTCTTTCTCCTGAGGCGGTGGTGGTGGTGGTGGTGGTTTCCATCGCCAGCCTTCCGAGTCTGCTCCTGTTACGTATGCAAGCATCTAAGATGGCAGTGGTAAGAGTGGACGCGACGCAAGAGCGGAGCAGCCGTAGAAAAAATGTGCCATCTGTGTGTCCTTGTTGTTATAGTGGGGCGGTCACCCACCTACGATTAGGACACTTTCCACTCCCAACTTAACACCCCCGCCAGAAGACGAAACACAAGTGACGATACCACTTGATTGTTTGTGGTATCAGAGAAGGGAGAAAAAGAGACGTTTACAGTGGTAGTTATAAGAGTTGAAAGCAGTGGAATGGCCGAATGTGTTTTGAGTTTGACATGTTAGGCTCATTTCTGAACAAGACGTGTCACTATAGTTCATCGAACTTGTCAAGATTACGTCTGCTCATCGATCAAGAATTCACCGCATCTGATGTTTATTTGGTACTAACATAACTATTATGTTTCGATGGATTTGATTTAGGATCTACGTTTCATCCTACAATTGGTGCAGAAATATTCGCTATACCAAGGAACGAACAACATCATATCTTTGCAGTGACAAGGTGTCTTCGATTTGGCCAAATCCATCACCATCTAACGTTTAGATATGGATCAGAATCCAGGTCGGAGTTGGGTCCTCGTTGGGTAAGATGATACCTTCAACAAAGATCCCCTCCTCTCTCTCCCTCGACCTCTCTCCCGCAAACGTCTCATTTTTGTCTCTTCCCACTCCATTGCTTCTTCTTGCTTTGCTCTAATGGCGCCGCCGTCGCCTCCGCTTTGGTGGGTGGGGATTCTCCTTCTTGTCGAGCTCCTCCTGCTTCCCCGGGGCCTCGCAAAGAACGACGACGAGGCGTGCCTCTCCGACCTCCGGCGGTCCCTGACGGACCCTAGCGGCAGTCTCCGGAACTGGACCCGGGCCAACTTCGCCGCCCCCTGCAACGGCTTCACCTCCTACCTCCACGGCGTCACCTGCAACAACGGGCGGATCTACAAGCTCTCCCTCGCCGGCCTCGCCCTCGGCGGCGCCATCTCCCCCTACGTCTCCAACTGCACCAACCTCCAGTCCCTCGACCTCTCCTCCAACCAGCTCGCCGGCCCCATCCCGCCGGAGCTCTCCGCCCTCCTCAACCTCGCCGTCCTCAACCTCTCCTCCAACCGCCTCAGCGGCCCCATCCCTCCGCAGCTCGCTCTCTGCGCCTACCTCAACGTCATCGACCTCCACTCCAACCTTCTCTCCGGCCCCATCCCCGACCAGCTTGGCCTCCTCGTCCGCCTCTCCACCTTCGACGTCTCCTACAACCGCCTCGAGGGCCCCATCCCTGTCCTGCTCGCCAACCGGTCGGGCATCTCGCCGGGGCTGCCGCGGTTCAACGCCAGCTCCTTCATCGGCAACCGGGACCTTTACGGGTATCCCCTGCCGCCCATAAAGGGGAGGGGTCTCTCGGTGCTCGCCATTGTCGGGATTGGTCTCGGGAGCGGGCTTCTCAGCTTGGTGCTCAGTTTCACCGCGGTTTGCATCTGGCTTCGGGTCACGGAGCAGGCAGCCATGATGGCCGCTGACGAGGGGAAGATCTCCCATCTCATGCCCGAGTACTGATTAATTCGTCTTCTTCGGGCCTCTTCCGCCATGAATTCAGCATCAAAGACCCATCTTGTAACTCTTCTCATTCTTCTAGGAGTAAAGTTTGATCCTTTTTCTCCTCTTCTTCTTTTTCTTCCCTTCTCTTTTGATTTTGCTTAACCGTTTGATAGGGAAGATGTATACCAAAGTGACCAAGAAACTAATTCACCACTATTCTGTTCACTTCTGTTCCTTGTTTGATCCATAGATCCTCTGAATTGTTTCAAGCTTTGTGAAGCAAGACAGGATTTTTCCGACAAATAAACGTAATCTACACCTTCTTACAAGTTAATTTGTTTTGGAGTGCGTCAACAGTTCGATAGATGGAGAGGACACTCCAAATAGATCTTTTCCTGGTTCTGCTCAATCTCAATCTTGTGAGGTGGGAGGCTGCAGAGAAAATGGATCTGAGCTAATCTGTGAGGCATCAGGATTAGCCATAACAAAGCCTGAAGTCTTGTGTCCTTAGCAGCTAAGTATCCTGTCTTGGCCTCATTACATATTTATATCTCCAAAAATCCTACCTCCATTCTTTATGGTTCTCTTCTTTGTCTGTGGAGTAAAGACGCATTTGTAATTGGATCTTTCAGGCTAAACTGCTCAAGTTGTAATATTAAACCATATGTTTGTCTGAGACAAGTTTAACTGTAATAAATGCTGTCCCACTTTAAAGGCCTAACATGAGTACCATGAACTTGGCGCAGCTGCATCTCACAAAGCCAAGCCAGACAACACTGCAACAGCTGAGCATCATGGCATGAGCTCCACCATCTCTGTGAGGTATGGAAATGAAGGGGAAAGGGGACCATGAGTGGGTGGCAGAATTGCGGTTCATGTCTCGTGATCTTCCATCTTTGTCAGAAGCAACGACTGTGCCCAAATCTGGTTCTGCAACCAGCAGCCTTTGGACTCGCACAGTTACGCATTGGGATGAGCAGAGATTTCAAACGCAAGATAATGAATGCTGTCTCTCAGATTGTTGTTCCAATATATAACGAATGTTGTTTGACCCCACTAAATATATAGGAGTAGAAGCATATATTTATATCCAATTATTACTTATGTAAATTAGGATAGAATGAGATAGAGAAATGAAGTGTGAAGTTAGAGAAAGAAGAGTCCCAGCAGATCTCTCTGTTCATCATGTCTTTGTTGTGGTGGCTGCATGCCTAAAGCAAATTTTGCTCCTCGAGTTGCAAGGGATTGGAGCGAAGAGGCCATTCCAAAAGGCTTGGGACGAGGGGAGAGAGGAAACATGAAGTGCGCATCCACATGGAAGCTCGATGGATCATAGGAGGAGAAATGATGGTTGTCTGTGGTTTCTTCTATCATTACCAGGACTGTATACTCATCATCCTCCCACAGTATCAGCACCAAATTCTTGTGGGTTCTGTTGGACTCTGCTACAGGTTTTTCGGTGGATAGAGATATTTAGACGGCGTGTATAGGAAAAATTGTTAAGTAAAAAAATTTAAATAGAAGATAATTAAAAGGTATTTACTGAATGAAAATAAAATTTAATTATTTTTAGTATTTTTTTTGAGTTTATATATTTTAAAAATTATAAAATAATAATAATAATAATAATAATAAATATTCTTATTATTATAAATCTCAATTATTTGGAGTTGACCACATAAATCTTGTCATTGAGATTTTAAAAAATTATATACTTAATTAAGTTTATAATAATAATAATAATAATAATAATAATAATAATAATATTATTATTATTATTATTATTATTATTATTATTATTTCCCTTCTGCCCTGTTGTCATGCAAGCAACAAATGTTAAATACTTGGAGAAGAGAAGAGTGCAGATGATCGCCACCTCTTGTTGTTGCAGAAGGCTTGTGCTCATCAGGATAACGTCGCGTCCGCAAGTTACACTTCGCGCCCGCCGCCAGCCGCGCCATGATCGCCGTTTCCGCCCCGTCGAGTAGAGTCCGCCAGGAGACCGCCGACCTCTTCGTCGGATTCGTATGGCCGTTTGCGGCCGCTCGTATGGTCGCCAAGGCCTTCGAGGTGCTCGATGAAATGCCCGAGAACGGCTGTGAGCCCGACGAACACTCCGTTCCCGCTAACGTTAACCACCTCACATATGTCCTCTACAGCTGGTGCAATCTGGGGAAAGCTCATGGACGCAAAATTTGTATTCTTGCCGATGAAAGGTGTCATATTTTTGCCTGATGTCGTTTTTAACACTTTGCTCGATGATTTTGCTGCTCCAAGGAAGATGGAGGATGGACATGGGCTCCTAAAAGAGATGCAGCAGAAGGGATGTGAACCTCATGCAGTTTTGTACACCGCTCTGATCCAGGCACTCTGTTCAAGGGAGAGAATGGACTAGGTTATGCAGGTGTTTCTGGAAATGAAGCATAATGTATCGCAGCTGATGCCATGACATACACGCCATTCTCATTAGTGGGTCTTGTAAGTCAGGGAAGACTCCTAGAGGGCATGAGTTCCTCGATGCAATGATGAAAGCAAGGATTGAGACCAGACTCATGTGCTTACTTTTACATGTTAGCTGGTCACGTGATGAAGGAACAATTGGAGGAGTCGTTGGAGCTCATGAGTACGATATCCAAAGCTGGCTGTCTAATATTGGGGAGCTTCAACGGTCACTATATGGAATGAGATGGAAGGCTTAGTCTGAAACATGTTTGGATGTGCTCGATGCTTGGCTAATGACTCAGCCTGATACATTTGAAAGCTCATGAAGGGTTTGAATAAGCCGGATGACTGGCAAATTGCAGCTTAAATATTGGAGAAGATGAGGAAGATGGCATAGGAGAGGCACAGTGCTTTCAAAATGTATGAAAGGTGAAGGGTGACAGACCTTAGTGAAGGGTGACAGACCTTATTGAAGGCAAAAACAAAGGCCAGGACAAAGAGGAAGAGAAAGAAGGAAAAGCGTCATAGACAACAATGTTGCCTCCATCAGGGTTGGGATCCTTCTAATTAATTTGATGCTCATCCTGAAGGATCCTATATGACTTAATGTGAGAATTGTCCAAAATGTAGCAGTTTTGTGATCCCATTTTACTCATCTGACCACTTTCTTTTTCTTGCGGATTTGTGATGCTAGCTTCTCTTTTGACTCTCCACAATGATCCTTCTAGTTCCATTCCCATTGCCTCTTTCTTCGTGACAAGTTCAATACAATTCTCTACCTCATCTCTTCCACCATCACCAGAGGATGGTTCTTGTGGTCTTTCCTCAGAACAAGTACAAAATGACTGAGTTCAGGTTTCTCTTCAAAAACTGTCGGTGGCTTTATTACACTTCAAGTTTGCATTGTCGTTGCCAACCATGTGTTGTGGGTCATGAGTTCTTACTTTGAATAAACAATGAGACCCTCCAATGTGAAAATACCATATCATTTTTTGGTTTTGATTTGTCCAAGTGATAGTTCAGCTTTACATCTGATTTTGGCGTATCTCATTAGATGGTTTTGGTCACTTTGATGGAGGGCATTGGTTACTTGGAAGCCGGGTTTAATGCAAAAGAGCTTCTCAAAGGAGTTCCGTTTTGCATATTATTTTTTTCCAAACCGGGTGAGCAAATGGAATAGCTACAACTAAAGGACGATATTCTCAGGTAGCATTCTTGGTGAATGAGCACTACAAGGATTATGATTTTGGTCATGCTTACATCCACAACCTCTTCATCCCTATAAATTTGTTGATCCTCCAGCATGGTTGCCCACGAGTAAGAAACTGAGCACTTCTGAAAAGTATTAGGGATGATTTCACAGGATTTTGGTAGCTTGTCATTCTTTCCCATAATACCTGCTTAGTGGAGCACTTTCTACATTGCATACTAACAGAAATTATTTATCTAATGCATATTTGTGGTATTATTCTTGTCCAAAATTATGTTGGTTTAGATTATATGCAGTTTACTTCACTTAGAGACAGGCTTCTGAGACCTCAGTCAAGGACTAATTAAATAAAAATCAAATAGATCCTGTGTGATTTATTTGTTTGATTCTGGATAGGATAAAGAGTTGATCTTGATTTGAATCACTTAAGAAGAAAACTAAAATATTAATTTATAAAATTATTGATTAGTAATCAATCTATTTGAGTTAGAATTAGATTCAAGTCTAGTCAAATTAGATCCGATTGATTGGGTATTGCATTATGTATCACACCACTCATGAGCACAACTTTGGGCTCTTAGTGAGTGATGATTTATGAATATGGTGTTTTGCTTGATTTGTCTTCAGGCAAAGACAAAAAGAGAAGGGGCAAGGTGGAAATCAGTGCTGTGATACATGTCAAACATCATGAGTGGCCTCACCATTTGTGTGCCATGCTGCCAGCTTGCTATGCTGTGCAAATTCTGTTATGAGTGCTTTAAGATCATGCCATGAGGGATGCTCGATGGAAGGCCTGTAAAAACAAGTGAATAGTGGGAAATAAGGGCAGTAGCATAGGTCAAAAGGAGAGAGAGATTGAGAGGAAAAAAATGTTATCCTCTCAGTAAGGAACTGGCAACGTGCAAATATGTGTTGCTTTTAAATAGATCTTATGGTTTGCTGTATATCTTTAACTTATTCAATTTATCCATGTTTATAGTTCAATTGTAGAGAGAGTTAAGGGTTTGGACTCTTGGATAGGTTCCTCTTTGGTAAAGCAAATCTGCAATGGAAGTTGCAATAACATGATATTTTCATTGGCTTTTCTCTGTGCCTTCTGATCATCTTCAATCCTGGCTACTATCTTGGATTTAGTTCACAGATGAATCTTCGCAAACTCATTTTCTTTGTGAAGGAACTCATCATTTATTTCATGAATGTATAAAACCATGATCTGTCGAGAACATGTATTGGCTTCCAAAGATTGCACCAGTGAGGGTTAGGTTCTTGTGGGCACACGAGGATGTCAATTCAGCGCACTGGCTTGTGTAGCCTGTAGTGGGCACCCATGAGTTTTCAGACTCTGAATCAAGTCAGGTATGTGACTCAAAATGCTGAATAAACCTCTATCAGACATTTCAATTGGAGTATAATTTTTTCAATACCTATCTCATTGATGGTTTGGAATTTCTGATGTCGTCTCTTTTTAGCCAATGAGTTGGATTGGGCACATCATGATATATGATATAAATCAAGATTTTTTTCTGTTCTATTAAACAAGTTAACTGGGAGGAAAAACTAAATCATGGATGCACTTTGATTTAGTTTTCAGGATTATCATTCTTTGTAATGAGAGAAACTTGCTGGATTCTCGTGTTCAGTTAAATGTAATTTGTTTGACTTTATGCAACCATGCATCTGTTTAATATGGATACTGCTTTGCAGTTGTATCCAATCAGTAGCTACATTACCTTATATCATTTGATGTCAAGCTTTCTGGCAATAAATTAGTAACAATCACTTCCATCTAAGTTGTTGTTAAGTTTGCCTCTGCTTTCAGTTCAAGTGGATGCCTTGTTCAAATTAATAGATGCCTTGATGTGTGAGATTTATTCATTATTACATGCATTTATATCCATAACCAAACAGACTGCTTCTTGATCTTCTTTCACATGATAGATTCACTTGAATTCTCTGCATATCTCTGCTGTGTGATTAAGTAATTGGTGATTAGAAAGGACCCAATTTATTGCCATGGCTTGAATCATGCTCATTTTGGTCACAAAATAATAATTCTACCATTTCCCAAGTTCTCTCTCTTATTATTACATGTGTTTCCGCAACAAATTTAACAATACAATCAATTTGTTTGTTTCATATCAAATCATGGCAGGTCACATTGGATCCATCAGAAAAATACTTGTGTTGAGAAATTTGATCCGTTATTTTGGATTTGTTGATCTTTAAACATCCAAACATCTTCTTCCTGCACCTGCCGGCAAATGTTCTTCATGTCGAACAAGTTGGAACTTGGCCAGGCCTCTGAGGTACGGTACCGCAACACAATTTTGATTGATGGCTTAAGTAATGCTTGAATTGTGTTTCAGGTTTAGTCTCAAAGTAAATTTTTCAGGAGTAGAATTAGTTTACTAATATTTATTTGGACTTTACTATTTTGAAGTATATCAAGTTAATGAGTCAATTATTTCATTGGCTGAATTATGACAAATTATATCTACTGATAGATAGATGAGACCAAGACACATCTTTGCATATAATCACTATTGGATTAGATCTCATATTACATTTGCATATTATGCTATTGGATTAGATCTCATGTACACCATAGTATGAGTTACAGACTCATCATAGTATGAGTTCACCATCGAACTAAGGCTTCACTTGTCATGTGCACCGACTTGATTCTAGACCTTGATGAGGTCTATATCCATATGTCATCTTGGTACCTTGCCAACAATATATTACTGATATCTCTGCATCATGTCGCCAGGCAGACAGAGCTAATACTTGCTTGACATATAATAATTAATGTCAACTGCCTTGTAAACAATATAGAGGAGAGAAAGAAAGAAACTAAAACCATGAGCATTAGCCTTTCTGGCTCTGAGTTAATGCAGAAAAGGACCGCAGACCAATAGGATGCCGTGTGGGGGAGCCAATGGCTACTGCTCAAGGCTGGTCACTTGGACTCACCTGGAGCTAGTCGAGGAACCAAAGGCCACAGGAAGTTGCCCGGGAAGAGCACTCTGATGGGTGATGCTTAGAAGAGTCAGACCCATCAGCTTCCGGACTTCATCACCATGATTATTGTATTGGTTATCCAGGCTATCCGCACCCACCTCCGACAACACCAGTCTCCTCAGCCTCTCTGCTTGACCACGCCATGGAGCACCGGACGAACACGGCCGGCCCATGTGTCGGCGCGAGCAGAGATGGGTGCTAACTCGGGTGGGTCTCATTTGCTTCACATCATCTGTGCAGGACAAAACCACAGAGAGATCGATCGCTGCATAGATTAATATATGTATGATCGACCTCATGCACACGGTTGGCTTCGATTGTGTGTCCTTGGTGACTGACTTCGCTGTATCCTCCGGGCTTGAAAGGGAGTGGGTGAGTCAAGTGTCCATCCTTCTCTGTGCTGGGAGTTGGTCTTTCTTCCGACGCCAGGGTCCCAATAGATTCTGTCGGCAGCTTTATATTATCCACACTGATTCCGCAATTCTCCGCATGTCGCAAACGATGTGGCATTAAGTTTATGCAAAGATTTCGCTATAAATAGCTGCTACTCTTCCAGATTCGGATCATCATCGCAGCTCTCTCCCTTTCTTTGCAATCTCTCTGTTGTGTTCTGTAGGTATAACTTCTCTTGATCTCTTCTTGGCATACCACGATGGAGCAGAAGCTGCTGTCGAGAAAGGCTGCATGCAACAGCCACGGGCAGGATTCGTCCTACTTCTTGGGGTGGCAGGAGTTCGAGAAGAACCCCTACGATCCAATCGCCAACACAGGAGGGATCATTCAGATGGGTCTTGCAGAAAACCAGGTTGGTTATCCCCTCTCATAGCTTCTCCTCATTCGTCATTCCTGAAACCCTAGTGTTTGATTGATCCCTTACCGTCTTGTTCATCGTGCATGCCTGCAGCTCTCATTCGATCTCATCGAGTCATGGCTTGAAGACCACCCTGACCTCACCGGATTCAAGAAAGATGGTGGTTTGGTGTTCCGGGAGCTTGCTCTGTTCCAGGACTATCATGGCTTGCCAGCTTTCAAGAATGTAAGCCCATATTATAGCCTCAGCTAATCGATCCAGGGGAAGATTCGCATCCATTCTTGATGTCTCTACTGACCTCTGCAACACATACATTTGCAGGCATTGGCTAGATATATGGGAGAAGTCAGAGGAAACAAAGTAAGTTTCGAGCCCAGCAAGCTCGTCCTCACGGCTGGTGCCACTTCTGCCAACGAGACTCTCATGTTCTGTCTTGCCGACCCTGGAGAAGCGTTCCTTCTCCCAACTCCGTACTATCCAGGGTACTGCACTGACCTCGTCGATACCTGAGCTATGTTGTTGGGTCGCCGTGGTGACACTCCTTTGGATGCGCGTGACAGGTTCGACAGGGACCTCAAATGGCGAACCGGCGTGGAGATCGTTCCCATCCACTGCTCGAGCTCGAATGGCTTCCGAATCACCCGAGCGGCACTGGAGGCGGCACTCCGACGTGCGCAGAAGCGTAGACTGAGAGTGAAAGGAGTGCTGGTGACCAACCCGTCCAACCCACTGGGGACGACGCTGACCCGACAAGAACTGGACACCCTCGTCGACTTCGCCGTTGCCAATGACATCCACCTCATCAGCGACGAGATCTACTCCGGCACCACCTTCGGCTCGCCGGGTTTCGTCAGCATCGCCGAGGCCACCAAGGGCAGGGACGACGTCTCCCATCGCATTCACATCGTGTGCAGTCTCTCCAAGGATCTCGGCCTCCCTGGCTTCCGCGTCGGCGCAATCTATTCGGACAACGAGGCCGTCGTGTCCGCCGCCACCAAGATGTCGAGCTTCGGGCTGATCTCTTCGCAGACGCAGTACCTCCTGGCGGCGCTGCTATCAGACAAGGAATTCACCGAGACGTACGTCCGCGAGAGCCAGAAGCGGCTCAAAGAACGCCACGACATGCTCGTGGAAGGGCTCCGGCGAATCGGGATCGGTTGCTTGGAGGGCAACGCAGGGTTGTTCTGCTGGGTGGACATGAGGCACCTGCTGAGGTCGAACACCTTCGAAGGGGAGATGGAACTGTGGAAGAAGATCGTGTATCGAGTAGGACTCAACATCTCGCCGGGTTCTTCCTGCCACTGCGACGAACCAGGGTGGTTTCGCGTCTGCTTCGCCAACATGTCCGAGGACACCCTGGAGCTCGCCATGAGGCGGCTCGAGAGCTTCGTGGATTCCTGCCATCGGCGCCGCCCAAGACGGCAATTCTTGGCCAAATGGGTGCTCGGCTCAGCCTCATCGTCTGCCGATCGCAAGTCCGAGCGATAACGCCTGCTAAGCTGCCAGTGACTGCATGCATGATCACTCCTACTACGATTCTTTAAATTCGTTCATCGATCATACTACATTATTTTGTTTTTCTTGATTCTTTTTTCCTTGAAGCCCCCGATCTGCTTGGGTTTTAAGGTGACCGATGTTTCATTCATTGCTACTATTCCTTTGTTTTTGAGTTCGCAATAATGTATCGTATTACTACTATTCATTGGATACGATTCGATGTAATACTCAATGGAAAGAAATAAGTACAGAAAATATAGAATGGATCATGATTTATGTCCACCTGTTTTCTTGAAATAAATATTCCTCATGAAAAGATCCATTAGATCATTTAAATCAATTTAGGTCACTGATACATCATCATGAATGATATCTTATACATCACATCATAAGGCTATAATCCAAAATCAGCATGACAAAGTGGACTTGAATGGGATGTAAACTTAACCAGATGTTGACATTGTGAGTAAACAAAGAGCTAACTTGAACCTATGTTGAATATGACAACCATTAATTAATCTTAATGCTATCAAAAATTGCTGTGCAAGTTAGTCCGGACAATATCAACTTCTTTGTCCATGAAAAGGATGGGGAAGAAAAGGAGGCATTGATGAGATGAGGTCATCTGGTAGAATCATGTTTACCTCAGTTCTTATCTCTGCTTTTCCAAACTCATTTTGTTTGTAATGTGATGAGGAAAAAACTATTTCTATCAGTAAATAATTAGATGTAGTTTCAGGAAAAGATAAAATAAAAAAAATATATTTAAATTAATATAAACTTATGTGTAATATTTCGATTTAGTCTTACATCCAAAATGAAAGAAAACTGGAATAAACATATATGGATCGGACAGGTCTGCTATCATCAAATATCATCTTGGATGAGCCTATTAATTAGCTCCATCTCAGTACTTGGGTAGTGAGCACTCTGTTGGCAGCTGACCATGGAATCTCTTGGGGTCTTGGCAGTAGTCATAGATGAGGTGGTACTTCCTCACCCATTTCAGCAGCCTCCTCTGCCGCCCTGTAAGGCTCCGCAGCCTTGGCTTGTTCCACCAGTTGCTGTTGCTCCCTGCCCTGCAAAACCTGGGGTTGCCCTTCCAAACGCAGGCGTCGATCTTGTAGTCCCCCAGCGTGGCCACGAAGGGCCCCTTGGACCAATCCACCTTGTCCTCCCCTCCCCGTGTCGCCCAGCTGTCGCCGTTCCACAGGCTCGCCTTGAGAGTCATCGGCTGCCATCTTGGGAAGGCCACACCCTCGTCTGCGTGGTTCCTGTAAACCCTAACTGGCACCCAGTCCACCATCAGCCTGCACGAAAGCCAACACCACCTCAAGCTTAATCATCAGCTACCACTGCCATGCATGCATGTCGCTATGCTTTGGCTTACACGATCTGGTACAGGTTCCAGAAGATGGAGTAGGTGTGGAAGTCTTTGGTGGGATCGAACCACAGATAGATCCTCTCCTCCCGGTTACCCGACCCGTCGGCGTAGATATTTGTCTGCAGAATGTAAGGTTGCCCGGTCACGTTTCCGAGGAACTCGAAGTCGATCTCGTCCCTGTTAGGTCGATCAGAAGTGAGCTGCAAGGCCGGCAAACAGTCACAGACCAGTTCATCATGCACACAGAAAGACACAACAGGGAGGGATAACGGACGTAGTAGGCGAGCACTGTGCCAGCCGAGTACCCAAGTATCAGCTTGATCCTCATGTCGATCTCGCCGAACAAGAACATGTTGTTGGATGCAAAGGATGATCCTGCAACAAACTCCAAGCAAATTTATGTTAGAATATGTTCTACCACGGGTTTGATGGATTAATTGGTCTATCAATTTTATTTGATCTAAAATCATTCGTCAAAATATTTAAACTGAAATTGATAGTAATACACTCATCAGATCTTTATAAATTAATCTTAATCTTATTCATTTCTGTGAGACTAATCATGATGTTTCACACTCTCTCCTATATAACGATAAGACTGTTGATTTTTTATGTTCGTTCGGTAATACCTTTGAATAATTTCTACGAGGTAGGAAGTGGGGGAGAAGGGTTGATCTTATTATGTCGGAGATAAGTGATTCGATAATATTTATTTTATTTTCGATCTATGATATTTTAGATTTTAATCCTTACTAATTGTATTTTTATATGATAGTTCAATCTAATAATTTAGGATTTCTAAGGTAGTTTGAAGAAGGTGATGGCTGCGTACCCGATTCCTGGTCCAGCATGAGGGTCCTTGAATGGCCATCGGCCGAGGTGTTGACATGGCTGGGAGACCAGGTGATGTGGAAATCTGTGTTGAAGTCCCCGGTGGAGACGACGGAGGCAAGTCCAAACCTGACAATGGAGATGGATAAAAGGCTGATTAATAGAGTGGCTTTGTTGCAGACGCAATAAACCATGGTGGCGTAGGCTTCTTGTGGATTGCAGGCTGTGAGAGAAAGAAGAGGAGCTCGATCGATATATAGTTCGTAGAATATGTGAGGGGAGAGAGAGCGAGAGAGAGAGAGAGAGAGTGGTTTCGATGTGAAGTAAGAATGCCTTGAGAGAAAAGCAAAGAGGACGACTCCCCACAAACAGTAGGCATCTGAAAGCCTATGAGCATTCTCTAATACCACTCGATCAGTCTTTTTAAGGTGCATTAATATTGATTAATAAATCTTGTGAATAGATAAAGATTAAAGAAAACGATTGAAGGACAAACATTTCTCTTTCTCGACCTGTTTGAGAGGACAACTCGGAACTTTTGTGCTACTTCAACTATAGATTCTTTTCTTCCATCGCTTGTTTGGCCAGCCATGTAAACAGATATCAAGATCTTCCGCTTTATGGTATTCCATGTAAAGTGATATCAAGATCTTACGCTTTATGGTATTTCCAGCATTTTTATGCTATTTGTTAGTGATAGTGATTATGTAGGTGGTGTAGATTAGTTCGATTAGATTCACCCTTTTATAGTGAGTTAATTAAGAAATATTCGACGATATAGGTGAAATATTTTTTGTATGTTGTTTTTGAAACATTTTTAGATCATTATTTTGAATTGATATCCAAGGGTCCTAACTGTTGATCGGCACCTATCTTCTCACGATTGACGTCATATTGTTATGGACAAAGTTAAAAATAGGATGTTCGAAATAATACTCGTGTATGTTCAATTTTTTTTTTTTTTCATGTTTTACATATCATGTAGAGAGTATATAGTAGGTTTGATAGTCTCATTTTAGTTAGCTTTTGTAATTATTATAAGTTATATATAGTCATTAAGTAAAAATAAAACTATCTTGAAATAGACCATCTAAGTAATTATTTTGAGAGTTTTCTAGCTTTGTAATATGGTGTAGAGTGTCAACCAACCCAACACCTAGGAGCTACCCTTGTGGCAAATGATTGGATAAGGATTTAAGATAGTGTTTAGGGCTGATTTACTATCTTGTTCTACATTATAATGTGGGCACTTGTGAGAATTTTTAGCCATGATAGACCACCTTGGGCCTTTCGTCGTATGACCATTCAGAGCTTACGAAATCTATGTTTGTAATTTACATTATCTATTAAGTATTAATTGAAATGATTACTTGTGATATCTCGAGTTAAACGTTTCTTCTAATTCGTATTCCATTTTGTAGGTCTTTAAGGGATCATAAGAGTTTTCAGGGAGACTGACCCTTTGTAGACAGATATACAAAAGTATCGCACAATTTAGGTAAAATCAACTAAGTCCATGATAGATAGTATTAGAGCAGGATAACACACTTAGAAATATTTGACATGCAAACGTATGGTACCTAGCATGGTTGCATTGAAGGCAGCAAACACGCGTGGGTATAAGGGAGAAACTGACATAGAAATATATGGAACAGAGTCACTCAAAGAAGCAGGCATCCAAGATTAGCATTTAGATAAATGGTAAACCTTTCACGTGAGAAAAACCACAAGGACAAGCAAGTTAGGAAGAATATATAGTACACAAATATTGAGATTGATGAGTTTGAGCTTGACATTGGCAATCAAATTTGATGATGCTCAAGACAAATGGTGTGCTTCGCAAAGGATGAGATCGTGTAAGGAGGGATGGGTTGCTTGATGACTAAAAGAGTTATGCAAAGCTCATAGAGGTGAAGAGAATTGCTAACTCAAAGAATTTTATACTTATGCAAGGGATTATACGTGGACTATGTGACTATCCCAATGTGACCAGAATTCGATGTCATAGAGCATTGAAACTTTCTCTTCGGCATGAGAAGGATATGTTCATAGGAGGCTGAAGTGTGTAGCAAGTTCAGTATATTGCTAGGAAAGTTTAATATGTTACTAAGCCTTGAGGGGCACAATAGGGGCTGTATTGGCGAAGAGTCATAGTAGTCACAATAGGGGCTATATTGCTAGAAAAGTTAAATAATAATAAGAAGATGAATTATAGTAGTTAACTCAATACAAGGAGTGCAAACACTTTAAGTACTTTAGAAGTGTGAATAAAAAGAAATTGAAAGTTACCGAGAGTGATTATCTACTTCATTTCTCAACAGAATGTTAATAGAAAATAAAAATGATATGAACTTACTTGGAGGTGAGAACTAAGTAGAAGAGGAATCATTGAGTAAATTTTATGAAGAAAAGATCTTAAAAACTTCAACGAGACAATATTCATTAAAGCTCCAATATACATCTACCTAGTTTAAGCAACATGAGACATTTGAGGGATTGAGGCACAACAAAGAAGGTCTTTTCTTTCATTTAAAGGATTCATAAGAACCAACAAAAATCAACATAACTCAATCAATCCCACACTAGAGTCAGAGTCATTTGAGTTGAAGTAGCATAGTGAATTTAAGTTCGACTACTCAACAACAACAATGGAGAGCAGTTAGGAACCAAGAGGTGCATTGCAATTGGAGTAGAAGATTGAAGATTCAGCAATAATGAGAAGATGCAGTGTCCACAAAGGCTTTGACAAGAAGGTCGAAGGAATAAATGAGAGAGAATGTCACATACAAAGCTGTAAATAAGATATTTGATGTAATGCTCGTATATATCTATGTCTTTTGATTTTATATATACAAAGGGCTTGTCGTAGGCTTGGTAACCCCATTTTAGTTGGCTTTTGTGGCTATTTCAAGCTTGTAAATGTAAGTTATGTGCATTCATGTTATAGAGGCCAAATTGCCCAAAAAAATAAGTCATCAAAGCAATCATTTTAGAGGTTTTCTAACTTCATAGAGCGGTGTGGAGTGTCAATCAGCACAACACCAAAGAGGTACTCAGGTGGTATATGGTTAGATGAGCCTTTAGGTAGTGTTTAGGATTAGTTCGCTACCTTATTCCTCGATAGTGTCATGTGAGCACTTGCGGAGACTTTTGACCACAATAGATCATCTTGGATTCTTTGTAGCACAACCGTTCAGAGTTTACAAAGTCTATATCTGTAATTTAAACTGTCTATCGAGTGTCTACTGAAATAGTTGCTTGTGAGATCCTGAGTCAAATGCTTCCTCTAATCTGTCTTCTTTTTGTAGGTCCTTAAGGGACCATAAAATGTTTTAGAGAGATTAACCCTTTGTAAATAGACACGTAAAAATGTCGCATGACTTAGGTAAAACTAAATTCATAACAATATATCAAGAAATATTTTACATAACTAATAAGTTCATAACAATATGTCACCGGTGCGAACTATGAACTATTGTATCTCTTATAGAGTCTACGTTGGATATAAAGTTTAATTTAATTTTTTTTTGTAACCGGGAGACTGCCCAAGGAAAGAGATCGTAAGTCTCCTCTTGTTTCTACTGCTTTGAGAGCTGTTATTGCCATCGTTCTTTGGATGATCTGGAAAGGCAGCAATAAGGGGCTGTTTAGACACTTAAATCTACATATAGATTTGTGTTGTTTCTAATTCCAATTCGATCTCTGTCCTCAACTGTTTGACATGTAAATCCGCATAGGTTTACCCTAATCAATTCAAAGACCCATAGGCATGCATTAGATGATTACCTCTAGCTTGATAAAACTGCATAGGTTTACCCTAATCAATTCAAAAACCCATAGGCATGCCATGACAGTATTTAACCACGGGAGATATTCATTCACCTCAATAATCAGATCATACAAACATTAAAAATGAAGGAAGTAAAAGATGTAGCCCACACAAATCATTGTTGTGCTGCTAAGAATGTTGGCAAGTGTCACTAAACATGACTTATGCAAACCAAACTGTGATCATTCCCAAGCATTACCAATTAGCATTTACATACTGGCAAAATTTGCACCAACCTAAACCATATTATTTACTCTGCAGCATCCTGATTTCCACTCTTTGCCTTCTCTTGTTCCTGCATGATCATACCAAGCAATGTGTCAGCTGATTCTACTGAAACTGTTTTTGCCATGCCATCTGGAGTTGAGAATGTTTTAGAGCTCCTTTCTTGTTCCTCTGGTCTGTTGGTAGTCTTGGATTTCTCGGATTCGTTTGTCTGCCCATACTCAAAGCTGGATTTTTCCCATATGTTTCCTGTCTCAGTTGTAGCATTTTGGCCTTGAACTGAATGCAACCAGTTGGTAGCTCCATTCACCTCTTTCGGGTCAGCCCGAGTAAGATCACTTTTGTTGTGTGATACTGATGCAGATTTTGTGGTTGTTAAATTCATCTGATTATTCGAACTCGGTCTCAGTTCTGCTTGATCATCGATGGCACTTGCAGTTGTTAGAACAGGGTGCTGCCCGATGTGAGTACTGGGTTCCTCATCTCTCGTCGTATTTTCTTGAAACCTGTTCTCAGGTGTAGGAATTCTGATCTCTGATTCTGAAGGCCAAGTCTGATTTCCTTTTAGACCAACATCTGGATTGTTTGCTTCAGAAAAATCCAGCTGTTCTGAAGCACCTGAATCAGAGCCTTCTAAATCTCGATCAAGTGATTCACTAGCCTCATTTTTAGCCTCTTCATCCTTTTTCTTTACACTCTCCATAAGATTCTCATCCAAATTTCTGATACCAACATCTTCAGATTCGGTAACATGATCTACAGAGCTGGAGACAACATCATCTTTGAGACTTCCTTTTTCTGCCGCATGAGAAGCCACTTGGTTTTCTACTTCAGGGGTAGTGGGGACTACCTCACTGGACGCATCATCCCCTGTGAAACTCTTTTCTCGAGCCTTATGAGATGCATCTTCATACGTTTGGTTATCAACAACCCGCGGCTCTTCGATTCGACCATTCGTTTCATCTCCATTTCCAACTTGTTTGTGCTTCAATTCTTGAGTTATGTCTTCATCTCCATCTTTTGTACCACCATCGATCTTCGTCTGAGTTACAGCATCAGAACTGCCCGTGAAAGGCAGCTCCTTCCTGTGAAAATTAGCATTGCTCTCTGGGTGTCTCATGTATGAGACCTTCGAGCCCCTCTCATCGTATCCCTTCTTCTTATCATGAGAATGCTTGATCTGGTAGAGAATCCAGGCACAAACAACGACCAGCAGGCACACTTGAAGAGCATTTTTCATGGTGAACCCTTTGGATCTCTGGTTCCTACTTGTTACCTGCCTCAACATGGTGATCCTCGTATAAAAAAGCTAGTATCTTCCTCAGGGATTAACAATTGTCAATCCAATGTAGCCTTAAACTTCTTTTGCAAAAGAACTAGTAGCTTCGATACCTGCCCATAAAGAAGAAGACATTTCAAAGAATCTCAAGATCAATAACACCACATCTATAATAATGAAAAGGGAGGTTGAATGATTAAAGGATGAGAAAGCAGATGCTCTTGTTAGGATTTGACCCTTGCTTTTGGAAAAAAAAAAAGAAGAAGAAAGAAAACAACTGATGATATTGCTAATATCATCTCAACATGGTTGGAGAAGGAAGGAATAATCAATATTAACCTAGACATATTCCTGCCTCAGAAAAGAAAGAAGATATGCTTTCAGGCAGGGACTGTAAAGTTCTCATAGCCAAGAAGTTGGCAAGATTATTAGTACAAGACAATGGGCTGCAAGTAGAAGAACCTGTTTCTACACCATTCACATTCCAAAAATAAAATAAAATCTAAGGGCTGAGCATCAACTTATCAACAAAATTTTGAAACCTACGCAGAGAGCAAAACTGGAAACATACCTGAGGAAGCAGTGATCTCCTCCCTTTTTGCTAATGTTGAAGGAACAGTGAGAAGAGCAGGAAGAAAGAGGACAGGAGGGATTTAATGAGAACTTATCAAGTCCATAATTGGGGAAGCTACATTCAAACAAGAAACTGTGCAGGAAGCCTGTCCTATTACCCACATTACTGCAGATACGATCTGAAGAAGGAAGATAGAAAAGGAATTCTCTTTTTTTCTTTTTTTTTTGTGGGGTGGAGTGTGGGGTGTTGGAAAAGGAAATCTAATTCAGATAAAACAATCTACATCTCATTCTAGTGCTAGCTAGCAAGAAATATGATTGAGATACGGATACCCTGCACTCTGGTTGCCAGCTCATAAGGTAGAGAACCTTTTAATAGCATCATTTAAGCAGAGATAATCATAATTTATTTTCATTTTAAAAAGATATTAGGTTAAACACATAGCCGCCACCAACAAATAAATTGTTGGATTCTAATATGAACTATTGACTGTGTGATTTTTAAATGAATATTCATCTATAAAACAAAAACCAATTTTTTAATAGGTTTATATGATGATTCTAAATAAAATGGATTGTATCCTTAGGTTATCTTTCTAATATAATTTTCTTTAGGAAAATGGTACCTCTAGAGGATGCCAAATTAACATCAAAGAGGAGGGACAGAAAGCAAAAGGACAACCCTGTGAGTAATGAGAGGGATGCGACAGGCTACCTCTCGTTTGGGTGACGGGCGTTCAAGCTTTGGCGGAGACAGATTAGAGATGGGAGGTGGAACAACGGGAAATAAACCAAAACCAGTTGAGAAAAATTTACCGAGTCACCAGAGAAGTAGGAAGGATAATACATCAATTTCTTCCCCATCGATATCGATAGTTGTTGGCCGTCGCTTGTGCGGTTGGATCATCCCGTCCCAACGCCCATCGCTCAGTGCGGAGTTACATCGAGCACCTTACGGTCGAACACTCGAGCCATCACGCCTTCCATTCGCGACTCGGTGATCCATCTCCTCACACGACAACAACCACGTGTGAGATGGCGTTTTGAGAGCTATGGAATAGGAGAGACGCGGGTCCCACGTGGGTCCCGCCGCCTACTTCCGACGCGCAGCCGCAGCGCGAGCCTCAATTACCGGACCAAACTCCGGTACCCGATCTTCCTATACCCGCCGTCCATGGCAGCTTTATGCCCTCCATGGACGGTCGATCGTTTAGTTTGCACGCGCTGTACATCGCTTGAGGAGTAGGATTATTATTGCTGTGTTCGCGGTCACCGTCACCACCGGCGGTGTCCTCTCCTCGCCTCCTCCCTCCTCTCTTGTCCCTCTCCTATCTCAAATCCCCGTGCCCCAAACTTCCCTTTTTGTGTGCCCTAAACTAGCGAGTATGGCCACTTTCCAACTCGCGAGATCCGGCTTCTCGCCGCCCGCCCTGCGGCGGCCCTCGGGTCTGCTTGGCCCCGTCCGCATCCGCTGCCGCCTCCCGGAGGACAATGGCGGCGAACCCGACGGTAGATGCCCGCCTTCTTGAACTCGATTCGTTATGGTTTTCTCGTTTCTTGATTCTTCGTGTGGTTCTCGTGCGGGTTAGGTTCAGGGTGGGAGGAGCCGCCGGAGTCGCTGTTCATGAAGGAGCTGAGGCGGCGGGGGATGACCCCGACGTCCCTATTGGAGGACGGCGAAAGGGGGGCGCTTGGACGGGGCCAGAGGGAGATGGAAGCCAAGGAAGATAGCGGCAACGGCGGCCGTGGCCGCAGGGAGCGGGGGAGCAGGAACGGGGTGGCCTCGGTGGAGCTCGAGAAGGGGATGACGAGGCCGAGGGAGCGGTTCATGTCGGTGAACAGCGAGGGATTCGAGGTCGGTATCCGTCGTCACCTCTTCCTCTGCTCTGCAAATCCAAATTGCATTGTCATCAAACTGTTGCTATTTGATCATTCTCTTGCAATCACCAGCTTTCACTTTGATCACTCTTTCGGATTCAGTGAGGATCAGTCACCGATTTCCGAGGGTGCAGTGTCGGAATCCCAAGGGAAATGTAGAGAAGAAGCCTATAAATAAGCTTTATCCTTAAATTGAGCAAAATCCTTGGCCGAGTTGCTCTGATACAGAATTAGCAAGATGTGCAATCATGGATTCATCACTTGTATTTGAAGAAAAAAGACTATTGCACATTAAAGAGTGTTCTTGCAAGTCCATCTGATGCCATGATCACTAAAATCATTGAACAAGAAAGATTACTATGTTCTTGAGTTGCTAAGCCACTTACTGCTCTCCTGATCATTGAGAATCCTTTACTTATGGATTCAACTCTTCAACATCAGGAGAAGGGTGAATCAGTGAAAGGCAGCTAACTGTATAATTAAACATCTACAATAAGTTTTTGTATCAAAAGATGCATCGAGGTGAAGTATTTATATATACTAGCAGGAACGCTCACTCTAGTTACTCTAGTTATGGTTGAATGACTGATGGAACACTTGAGATCTAAGGAGGTAATCTAACATGCAGAATCCTCAGGCATGTGGACAATCTTGACATCAAGTTATCAAAGACTGCTGTTATGATGACAACATACAAGCATTCATGCTCTGCTAATCCATATGGCTTTCAATCTTATCGTATCTCTCTCTCTCTCTCTCTCTCTCTCTCTCTCTCTCTCTCTTATAAAGGGTTTACTTCCACGGGCAAAACTGCTCCTCACAATTGGTGGAACATTCTTTCTGGGGTTTTGGCCTTTGATCCTGGTTACTGCTGGTGTTTTCGCAGCTCTGCATACAGTAAGCTTCAACTTTCCCCTGCTCTCCTCTGGTTTATGACTTAGAAGAAGGCCAAGTAAAATGGAAAATTGTGTCTCTTTTTTCTCTTTTGTGGCATCATAAACAACATTTGCCACATTACTTAAACTGCAACCAAGATTCCGAGTGAATGAGCTTTTGATAAGTGTCTTTTAACTCGTGTGTTTTATTGGCATGCTTTTCAGTGTTTTGGCCCGAGTTTTGTGCATGATGCAAGCAAGTTGGCAGCTTCACGGCCTCCATATATCGATCCGTATTCATTCCTCGAAGATGAGAAACTGCCGCACGCAGCAAACTAAGTGTTCCGATGTTGAAGTCGTATGCCAAAAACGAGTTTGTCTGCTATGCCTGTAAACTTGTACTCAATATCTTGCCATGGCAATTCGTAGTATGCTGCCTATATAACATAGCCAAGATCTGGTCCTGCGCGCGCGCGCGCGCGTATATATATATATATATATATATATATATATATATATATATGCACCGAGCATATGTTGAGATAAAATTGCATTTAGCATTTCTATGGAACAATTCAACAGCAACGGGCACAAAAAAGGATTTACTTTTTTTTTCTTGTGACAAATAAAAACATGTGATTTATGAGGGCCTCTCCTACATGAACAAAATTCTTTCGCGTGAAAAAATAAATTTATAAGGTCCCACCGAGATTTGAACTCGGGTTACTGGATTCAGAGTCCAATGTCCTGACCACTAGACCATGGGACCAAGGTACTACTTAAAGAGTTGTTAAAATTATTTATTTCTTAAAGATAACTGTCATAACAGGCGTTTTCATAAAGAGAAGTAGCATCGAGTTACCAGGGAAATACGTAGACAACGGGAAACAAGTAACAAAAGCCTAAGACTCATCATGTGGCTTGGTTGGGAGCCTTCTCCTTTTCCTTCACCTCGCTCCCCTGCGCCTTGTCGTATTCTTTTTTTTTTTTTTTAAGAGAGAGAAAAGAGAATCAAGTGACACTTTATTATTTTGAGGATGAGAAATCTATGATTTAGTTCAGGGGAAAAAACAAACATACCGGGATGAGTTATATCCGAAGGATTTCGGCCGTAGATGCCTCCAAAACCTTCCCAGTCTGAGCGCGTCGCGTACGCTTCCCCAAAGGAGTGACTCATCGCATCCCTGCCATACAACACGGCGCACTTTACACCTCAACAACAAGGAAACCAAAGTTATGGGACTCGTGTTTTATACGATCACCCTTGATAGGTGTTAACGGAATCAGTATGCTGCTCTTCGTCTTCGTCCATCTTCCTCTCCTTCTTCTCAGGTGTCGCGCCAGAGACGAAGCAGACTGCGCCGCCTCTACGTCCCACGGGGGTCAGGAGTGCGATTGGGCTGGGATTCAGGCGAATTACTCCCGCTACGCTGTGGCCTAAACGGAGCATGATGTCAACCTGCCCTCCCATGTCCTCTCACTTCGATCTTTCCCGTTCTCAGAACCCACCAATTTTGTCCGCTGCCGTCTTTAAATGGATCACCGACTGGTGGAAGGACGCTCAAAGGAGAGAACACGTGGAACTTTTTCACAAACCTCGTGCCACATGTTGGACACGAGGCTCGCATGGTGGGGATTTGCCTTCCACGCTTCCCTGGGCTTTGTCGCGCTCTCGTCCAGTTTACAACCATAAGACCATGTGTATCGTGAACCCGGGCATCATAATTGATTTGTAATAACACATCAAAGCAATAATGGACTTCCGCGGTATGTTTGTACTTTAAACTCCACTTCTTCAACGTCTGGACTTCCCCCGTCTCGTTCTAAAAGAAGATCGTAGAGGAGACGTTCTCGTATCAATAGACCCGCCATGGCTGAAGCTCCTGCTTAGCTGGATAGTCTCGAAAGAACTAACGAGCTGAAGGTGGTCCAAGCTTAATCCTTTCCCATAAAACTCTGTTTCACAAGTTTAATTTAGTACATTCACATAAAAAAGACGTGAAGAGATCACACAATCCTCAAAATATGTAAGCAATAAAAGAACTAATTATCGAAAACCATTTTAATCAGAAAATTTTCTGTTCAGACCTCAATACAAAGATTAAAAAAACATACGGCCGCTGACAAACATGAAAGGATCTCGGTGGGCTCGAACCACCAACCTCTCAAGGCATTCAAAAGTACCCGATATTCACTTTCAAATGAATTGAGCGCTCTTGCCATTTTGAGCTTAAAGACCCAACAAGACAACCCGCTGCGAGCCTCACCTACGGATTTTTATCCACCGTTTGAATAGAAATTATTTTTCTATTTCGAGAAAAATAATTTCACTTTCACCCCTTCCTCCGATTCACAAAATGACTTCCGACGAACTTGCTCATAATCAAATGCAAGAAGAGAAGAATTTAAGTGCAGCTAAACAGCGATTCTTGATTTCATTCTACTTAGACACCAACTTTTTTATCATCAAAATTATAGAACACATTAAATAAAGAGTGTATCTGTCGGTTACTTTGAAAACAATCTAATCATACATTTACATTCATAAGAAGTATCTTCCTACTGCTTCAAAACAAGCAGATACCATCATGAACTAATGCATAAAGAATTCACGACAAAAATAGAACTACTTTGGTCTCAAACTAAATTGGTGAAAGCCATCAGTTCATACCAGTCAAATTAAATTATATTAACAGTTAACACCAGTCGATCTCCAGTATCTTCCGGAGAAAGCCATCAAATGACTTGGTCCGGCTTAAAAAGTCAAATTAGCAGAATGGACGTTCATACAATTGTGACTCCATTTCGCCATTATAACAACATTGCACATACAAATCAGAAGACACATCAAAATAAGACCAAATAAAACAACAGCTTCATAAAAAAACGACACCAAAACTTAACTATCAATAAAGCAACTGAAAAACAATCTCATGACAACAATACCTAACCCTCAACAAAGGATATAACAATTAGTAGACATTTCAACCCAGATAAGATTAAAAAGAGTTCATGGTGGTGACCTTTTTCACCACATCAAATTGGCTATAAAAAGTGAAAGATAAACGAAGATCATGTTTGCAACAATTCAAGATCATCCACATATTCCTATTCAATGTAACATAAGTCAATGTTGAGAGTTACGTCTGTGCACAGTGGTATATAACTCCCATGGAAGTAAAATCCAAAACACCTAAAAAATTTAGATTAACCACAAAGCAAATAACGGCGTAAGAGAAAGAGCAACTGGAGAGTAAGAGCAAGGAATCAAGAAACGTCCCATGAGATCACCACCAGAAGCACACAGGGAACCTCTGATAGCCCAATGTATCCATACGGCTAGTTCCTCCGATGATTAATAACAGCTGGTCACCAAATTCCTTGGAACACGTCAAGCTCCATGGATCTGAAATAAGCTTCTTTTTCCTCATACATGCTCCCTAAATGGAAGAAATCTCCAGCTCCTGCAACACAAGAGGCCCAATACAAAAGTACATTGATGTATGGTCATGTTCTTCTGAAAACGAAGATTATTGTCTCTGCTGCAGGTCATTCAAAATCCAGATGACCTAAATCTCAAGTACCAGTGATATTGAAACTACTTCGAAAACAAGAACAGAAAAACGAAATTTCAATTCTCAAACCATAACAACCAGCAATTGGCGATTGACCCTCATCGACTATTCAGGGTTGACGATCTTATACTGAAACGAATACATGAGGATGCAACAATATGGAACCTTACATGGTCCAGTCACAATGTATGAAAGTGTAAATAAGATGCAGCACGATCTTAGTGACACTGACCATTGAAGTAGTCTCGACATATCAAATTACCATTGCATGTGTCTACAAATTTGGCTGGAAGCTAATCGCAAAAGGAGAAGGAATGTTGTAATTAAATAAATAATAGAATAACTTAATGTGCTAATCATTAAAGCAGTTGTTTTAAAGTAACTGAGTATGCTCAATCTCTCTGGAAAGAGCTGCATAATGTGTCAATGACTGTTTTAAATGCATGACAGTATCTATGGAAACCCAAAAACAAAATAGACCTCATCACTCCGAAAATGATTTCGTACCAACCCAAATAATGAAGTCTTAAGATATTTAGTGGGGCAACATAACGCTATGCGGATGCAAATATGCAGGGGCAAAAAGGAACCAATGACGCAACACCACAAAGTGGAGGAGAACCCAGGGATAAATAACAATACCCCGTGCGATCTCCCCACAAGCACACCCAAAAAAATAAAATTTTATTAAGGATAGGTGACCTGCCATGCGAGCGCACCCAACATGGCAAAGGCCCATATAACAAAGTTCAGTTCCAAATTACCTTCCCTCAATCAATACCCGCTTGTTCCCAGCCACAGGGAATATCATAATTTTACACCTTTAATACGAATTTGCAATCGGAGAACATAGTCTGACAATCATAAACCGCCCCATGGTTCGAGTTCCTCTGTACTTAAAAAGAGACGTACGATCAACAAAATCCATGGAACACGAACAGTCATCTACCGAACTCCTGATCCAAGAAACATGATCATAGGCGCCTGAGAAAGAATCTAAGGTAACCTGCAATACGATCCCAAATAGGAAAAAAAAAAGACAATCATAATAAATAGTTCGAAGGATCAGAACAATCATTAAATTGAAAGAAAACAATTTCCGACAGTGAATATTTGTAATGAAACAAGAAGATGCAAATAAACTGATGAAACTGATAATACTGAAAGAAACCATGTTGGATCTCATGATAACGAAACAAGCCAAAAGATGAATGAACTATGAAAAGGCACACGTTAGATATATATAAAACAAACCAAAGTTGACCGAGAAATAGCTAGGATCCGTAGATCTAGGCGACGCGATCGTCTGGTGGATGAAACTCTATCATATGTTTTCAGCCATGGAACTGCTTAACAAGCAGAAAAGAAATCATCCCCTGCCCTGCATACAAGAGTTATGACACGAAATATCAGCCTCACATAAAGGATCCGCGCCTCAGATCGATGATCGATGCTTTTGTTGCAGCATACCCATCCAAGTGACAGCAATATAGGAGGAAGAAATTCACTAACGAATCGACGAGAAACCAGGAGAATCTCAAGGAAAAGCAGATCGGATGAGAGAAATAGTATGGGGAGAACCAAAATACAAGACAGAACAAGGGAAGACCTAATCGATACCATCAGGAACACCACGAACTCGAAGATCTGCCAGAAGAAAACAGGTAACACCGGAACGCAGCTTCGCCATGGGAGATCAGCGCGGCCTGCAGCGATGGTGGAGAACGACAACAAACCCTAAGCCAGGTAGGTTCACCATGATAAGAACAGCGCCGACTGCAGCGACGGCGTAAAACGACATCAAACCCTGAGCCACGTGGTTTCGCCATGGCAGAGCTCCGCCGATTGAAGGGTCGGCAGACAACAACCACAAACCCTGAGACGGAAGAACGCCGCTGGCGGGGGTTCGGATATATAGAGACCGCGGGCAGGAGACCAACGGCTCGATGAACGTAGTGCCATGGGAACGGACTAGATGCATCCACGCGTACTCATATTATTGGCTCTGACAGCAAGGCGGTTCTCGGCTGCGTTGCGTTCACGACAGGACCGACTTCATTGCGTGACCACACGGAACAACAACGAAAACTAACTGCACCAGCATACATTTCACCCGCAATCATACCCGTGTGATGACGGGTGACTCAAGTGGGCCCCACTAAAGAGTCGTTCAACAGTGCCTATGCCTTCCATTGAAGTCAGTTCGCCGAAACCCGAGATTGAACGCCTTTTTAACTTGGAAGAATAAAATTACGCATGCTTGCCATCTAATTTCAACCAAATCATCAAAGCAGGGAAACGTTAGTTGGGTTTGAGTCGATTTATCTATTGCTTTGAGTCGGGTTGTATGAAAGTGAAACTTTAATCGACAGATGCGTCACATGAAATAGGGATATATAATCTCGTCAAGCTTTTTTTTGTCGTAAGAAGTATAACATAATTGTGCTTCTTTTGACTATATCTCTATAACATTTGCTCAATTAATTTTATCGTAAAATATCTTTCGAATAAGACGTTGATGTGTAAAAAATATGTTCTATGAACTCTAATCACATTCCATTGTCGTCTAGTCCGGTTAGGATACCTGGCTTTCACCCAGGCGACCCGGGTTCAAATCCCGGCAATGGAACATATTTTTATTCAATAGATAAATTATAACTGTATATATTTATTTTGAACCTTATTAATTTAATTATCTCGCTACTCATATATATTATATGTTGAGAATCCAATTAATTGTCAATATCCCGGCTTTTATTCATAAATGTTGCTAATTCATTTTATTTAATGAGAAAAGAATTTATGTAATTGCTTTACAATGTTATATTGTTGGCTTTTACTTTCTTCAGTGAGTTTTTCATCCAATTTGCAGATCATTATCATGGTTTCTAATTCACGTGCATTGCACGTGTCAAATGGCTAGTTATAATTAGTGGAGCTGCAGGACCCAAGCTACTGAGCGCACGCAGCTCTCGCTCCGGCGATCACGGGAAATTACGTCACCCGTGAGATGAAGGACGGCGACGATCTGCTCCCTTCATTTGAGGCCACCGGCGGAGTCGCCTCCGCGATCAGGGTCTCCTCCGCCGCGGACGCTGGCCTCTTCGGTAAGGGCCGCTACAAGTTCTGGGCACTTACGGCCATCCTCCTCCTCGCCTTCTGGTCCATGGTCACCGGCACCGTCACCCTCCGGTGGTCCGCCGGCGACCTCAACCGCCTCGACCGCGACCTCAACGCCCCCATCCACTCCGATCTCGACGCTCTGGTTCGTCCCTGATCTGTCCGGATCTTTGATCTCTTCCTTGAACGTTCTCCTCTTTGACCCTTGGGGTTGCTCGGCAGGAGATGGAGGAGAGGGAGAAGGTGGTGAGGCACATGTGGGACGTGTACGCCCACAACCACCGGATCCGGCTGCCGAGGTTCTGGCAGGAGGCGTTCGAGGCAGCCTACGAGGAGCTCGCCGGAGACGATCCCGCCGCCAGGGACGGCGCCATCGCCGAGATCGCTCGAATGTCGGTGCGGATGGTCGATCTGGAGGACCCTGCCCGAAATACCAAGGTAGATACGGGGCAGACCTAGGGTTCCTACGTCTCACCTCTATAGTTCATTTCTCCCCTCTTTCGTGAAATTTCATTAGCAACATGTTTCAAGGACGCTAGAAAGGTTAAATCGTGGTAAATTTAAAGGAATTAGGCTAATCTTTCTCCTCCATCAGCAGTAATCTTCTTTCTTCTGTCGAATTTTCTTAAAGATTAACTGTCGGTGGCAAGATTAGGTTAACCTGTAGCTGAGGTCTGAAAAGTTTTCGTCTTTTTTTGCTTATTTCTTTGATTATTGGCCATGGGGCAAAGATTGGAGGTAATCCGGGTAGGAAGAACTTAATATTAGTTTTGGACTTGGTATAATATACAGTTCTAATGCTGATACAGATATGAGATGATAAGGTTTGTTGTCTTTATATTGAGGGACACCATGATCTATTAGTGCTTACTTTACTCTCATAGGTTATGTTAATTGTTGATAGGTTAGTGATGTTGCTTTGATCTGGTGGCAACTTGTAAAGGTTTAATTTTTTTTGTCGAGTCCAGTCATTTGCTCTCAATTCCTAGTTACTTTTTTCTCCATTCTTGGAGTGCAAACCAGTAGAAATTTATGAGTTTGATGGTTCTTCTACATATCCTATCATGTGATTTATTACCATTTGCCCAATGGTTGAGTGGATTATTTCTCAATTGTGAAGTAGCTGCTTGTTTGGGTTGTTTGATATGATTCCTTTTTAATAATCTTTTCCTGTATGCTTACTGGAAGACTTGCATTCTTCCAGGCTGCTGAAACAAATAGGAATCAAGGGGTTGGAGGTGCTGAGCTTTCTATGAGGTCGACATCGTTGCCGTCTGTAGAAGCTCGATGATGATCCTACTGCATGTAGCAAACAACAATCTCTAATGACAATTGTTGCTTTGTCAACAACACATGTAAGCAAACTCTCCCAATATTGTTCCTTGCTTTCCAGTAAAAGCTTAGTTTTTTCCCGTCATTTTGTCATAGTGGTTCATGCTCAAGGCAAGGTTTACAAGACATCAAAACTATGTGCCGGTACTAACTAAGCATTATGTTTACGTTTAACTCCTTTTCGTGGTTAGTTTAGCTGCAACTGCTTTGTTCGGAAAAAAAAAATTTGTCGTGGTACCATTATATCAATGCTTCCATTAATATTTAAAATCCATTGGATGTGAGAGATATTGATGGAAGATGTGTGTCCGGTATCGATAATAATGTCTCAGTTCAGGACTTGTTCTCTTTATCATTAGGTTAATTTTACTGAATATATCGTCTCCGTAGTTCAACATTTTATAGAATTCTCAATTTGGTATTTCAGAACTCTTCCCATCTCAGGCATTAAGATGTCCTTTTTTATATCATATTCTTTCTTTTCTTTCCTGTTGACGGCAAGATTTGTTACAATCGGTAAAGAAAACATGTATAAGATTTGTATCTCCCTGTAAATAATTATGTGTATAAATTCCGACACACATCACCTTGACCTACCATTCCATTAGCTACAAACGGCATGTAATTTAAGCGTTCCTATTTCAGTGGTACAGAGGAGCTGAGTTTGTTATTTGAACTGAGACTATATAATGCATGATGTGCCCCATTGGTGCAGGCCTACTACAATCTTCAGCAGCTGCTTGCCCAAGATACAATATTGAAAAGCTTCCAGCTTCTCGTCCTTTTGTCTCATCTGTTCTGCCAATGGTTTTGAAGCCATTGTTGTGATTGTTTGAAGTCATCTTCAGGTATTTCTAAAACGAAAGACTTACAGAATAATGAAATGAGATCAAACAAACCACCATTCTCTTCCATCATGCTTTTACCTCATTATTCGGAATTGTTACTCTCGATATCGTTGAGAATCACTTGAAAGAGAAGTATGTCAACTTCTCTTCAAATGCATCTCCATTAATGTGGTGGCTTTACGGATCCAAAGTTCCATCTTTCTGAGTGGTCTTGTGCTGCTTGTTCTTTTCTTCTGTTTCTTCTGCTCCTCCTCGACTCTGTCCTCAAACTATGGAGGATGATGCTGAGACAACCTTGTCGTCGGCCTTTGCGTCTTGGGTCAATCTTTGGCTTCTCCTTCTCCTGTGGAAGACAGACATGTCGTCATTGACATGAGATAAGAGTAAATACAATGGATAGCTCCCATCATCCACCTTCTCATGTGGAAATAGACATCCCTTACCCATAATTGGTGTAAAATTTTCTGCTTCCTTCTTGGATAGATGGTAGAAGGAAAGGGAGGTAACTTAGTTGTTATGATAAATATTGAATATTTGATGTCTCGGTGATTCGGAGCTGATGTAACTCATCACAAGCTTTGGTGTTGGAGAGTAGTCAAGTTCAATTGAGTTCGTTCAAAATTATGATAGGGATATGTTCTATAAAGATTTTTTTGATATTTAAATTAATAAATAAATTCAACGAATTCGAAAGGTTGAGAATAGTATAAGAGAAAGCCTGGGTCAAGTATCAATATGGTTGAGAATAGTTTAAGAGAAATGATCGAATAAAATGCTCGAACGCTTGTACGAGAGTTGATGTAGAGTCAAGCGTTTGTACCATAGTTGATTTGCATGAAAACTGAGGTCGGGTGGGAGTATCGATATGGTCTCTCCGATGCTCAAGTCAGTAGCCAACGAAGGTAAAATAATTTTAATAAATAGTAATTGACCTTGGGTTTTTTTTTGGCTCGGTTAGCCAACGAAGGTAAAATAATTTTAATAAATAGTAATTGACCTTGGGTTTTTTTTTTTTGGCTCGGTGGGCTTTTTATAGTTGGTTTAACTAGAGAGAATATTCTGAGTGGAATACCCGCTCGGTAATTGTCCCTTGTCCTTCTCGTGCTGATTGGGTTGCCATGTGCTGAACTCTTATTAGGGCAAATATTTTTCTTACTGACACATCGAAGGTGGACAACTCAGTCATCGGTCAATTCCTTCGCTTTGAATGGTGAAGGGTGGTAGTTTGGTGGTGGAGAAGCTCAGTCAATCTGTTTTGCTTCGGATAATAGAGGGTGGATAGCTCGGTCATTAGGTGGTGTAACTCAGCGGGATGGCAAAGGTTGGATAGCTCGATCATCAAGAGGTAGAGTAGCTTGTTGGGTCAACCATTGTGCCCTTGTGATCGATGGTCATGGATGGCACAAGGTGACAACTACTCGAGCAACCCAAAGTCACGAATCATAATGCCCGTAGAATCAAGGTGGGGACCCACATCAATCAGTATTGATCGAGTCAAGCATCAAGGTGACCACCGGGCACAAGATTTGCCCACCTTGGAGACAGTCATCCTGTCTCGGTCAAGCCCTCTCTGCAAGATGATGAGCATCTTGGACTGCATGTTGCCACCCACGACGGTGAAGTGGTTGTAGAGGAAGGACTCGAGGCGGTTCTAGGGCAAACTGGGCATGCAGGAGGCCAGTGGAGGTCGCAGCCTTGATCCTGACCAACAGCACTTTCCATAGGAGTCGGGAGTATCGCCTCTCGAGTTGCATGTCCAGGTGCCATGTGGTTCAAAGGAGGAGTCGACGAAAGAGGGAGGAGAGGAGGCAGACTTGATGATGGGAAGCCATGAGTCGTGGGGCCACTAGGGGACCCACGCCAGGCGATGGTTCTATTGTGGGACAACCGGGGAACCTATGTTGAGCGATGGGTCTGTCGTCAATTCTCCCTCAATCACGATGATTTCACCATGCTCGATAGGGTGTCATCTTCTCCATGCAAGGTTATCTTCTTTGCCCAATCTGAAACGGGAATGCTCGAGTCCCTCGATCGATCTAGCCATTGTCGATCTACAATGGGGATGCTACGAGGCCCTCTTCGTCGCCCAATCTGCCTTAGACATGCCGAGATGCCATATCGGACAGTGAAAACTTGCCGTCGTTTGCCTTGGACATGCCAAGATGCCAACGTCGGGAAAGAATTTAATCCACTCGTATCAGACATTGGTAGTCATCTATGCCCGACCCGTTGTAGTGGGGCCGAGGGACCCACATTAAGCTATATAAACTTATCTCGAGTCATGGGACCCATTATTGGGCGATGAGATCCCATCTCGTCCGAGTTGCCACTGTATCTCCTGATCTGCCCATATTGGGTGGATTACTTTGCTGGATTGTTCGGCCACAAAAACTCGTGATCTGCTCACATTGGACAGATCTGTTGGATCGATCAATCACAAAACTCCTGATCTGCTCACATCGAGTGAATTGGTTTGTTGGACCGATTTGCCCACATTGGGTAACTAATGGCTATGGGTTAGCCATTTTGCCCACATCAGGCAGCCTATTGTGGGTCGACTAATCTACTGACCTTATGTAGAATCTTATCTGAATGTTGACCTACCTACAACAAGCAAGTTGACTTCGTGTTAGAGACGCTTGTGTCCGCAAAGGATGTCTCGATCATTGAGATGCGTTTAGTTTGTGGAGGAGGACACATCGAATGCTCTCACCCACAAAGGATACATTGCGTATTAAAGATACGTATGTCCGTGAAAAATGTTGTATTATCGGGATGCTTTTGTCTATAGAAGACACATCAAATGTTTCTTATACTTTCATTATGAAAGATGCATCAAGAATTAAAGACACTTGTCCATGAAGGACATGTTGACCTTCGGGAAACTTTTTATCTGTGGAGGATACATCACACGTCGAAGACACTTATCTCGGATACGTTGAACATTGGGATGCTTTAAGCCATTTTGGTTGTGATATTATCAAAGGGAGCATCTCGGGCCATTTCAATTGTATTATCATTGAAAGGAGTGCTTCAAGCTGTATCGATCATGCTCTCATTATAGAGAACGCTTTAAGCTGTGTCAATCGCACTATCATCGTAGAGAGCGTTCTAGGCCATGTTAGGCATGCTATCATCATAGTGAGCACCTCGAGTTGTCTTGGTTACACTATTATCATGGAAAGTGCTTCAAACCATGTCGATTGTGCTATTGCATGGAGAGTACCTCGAGTTATGTTACCACGCTATTGTTATAGAGAGCACTTTCGGTCATGTTAACCATATCGATGTCATAGAGAGCACTTCGGGCTATGCCAGCCATGCTGTCGTTGTAGAGAGTGCTTTGAGTCATGTTGACGTTGTAGAGAACACCTTGGGCCATGTCAGTTATACTATTATCATAGAGAGCACTTCAGTCTGTGTTGACTATGTTGATGTTGTAGAGGGTACTTTGGGTTATGTTAGTCGTGTTGTCATCATATAGAGCATCATAAGTTATGTCGATCGTGTTGTCATCATAGAGAGCACTTTGGGTCATGTTGATCACATTATCATCGTAGAGAGTGCTTCGGGCCATGTCAGACACGTTGTCATCGTAGAGTGCATTTTAGATCGTGACGACCATATTGTCATCGTAGAGAGCATTTTAGGCCATGTTAGTAATAGTGTCATGGTAGAGAGCATTTAAGGCCACAGGTTGCACTGTTCTTATAAAGAATGTTTTGAGCCATGTCAATCACATTATCACGAGTAGAGTCGAGAGACCCACATTAGGCGATGGGATCTCGTCTGATCCAAGTTGCCACTGTATCTCTCGATTTGCCCAACCAACCAACTACTAGATCTCCTAATAGGCCCACATCAGGTAGGTAATCTACCCACATCGAGTGGATTACTTTGATAGATTGATCAGTCATAAATAATCATGATCTACCCACATCAGATAGATTTGCTAGATGGATTAGTCACGAAACTCCTGATCTACCTATATTCAGTGAATTAGTTTGTTGGGTCAATCTACCCATTTCGAGTAGCCTAGCTCTGGATTGGTCAATTTGCTCACATCAGGCAGCCTACTATGGGTTGACTGATCTACCCACCTCGGGCAAAATCTTATCCGAATGTTGTCCTACCTATATCGGGCAAGTTGGCTCATGTTAGAGATGCTTGTCTTTGTAAAGGATGTGTCGATCGTTGGTATGCTTTTAGTTTGTAGAGGACGCATTGGATACTCTCACCCACAGAGGACACATCATATATTAAAGATGCCTATGTCCTGAAAGATGCATTACCAATGGGATGTCTTTTGTCTATGGAGGACATATCAGACATTTCATATGCTTTCATTCGCAAAGGATGCATCGAGCATTAAAGACATATGTCAACGAAAGACACATCGATCGTCAGGATGCTTTTTATCTATGGAGGATACATCGCATGTCAAAGACATTTATATCCACGAATAATGCATCGAATGTTGGGATGCTTTGGATCACTTTACCTGTGTTATCGTTGAAGGGAGCACCTCAGGCCATTTCAACCACATTATCATTAAAAGGAGTGTTTTGGGTCGTATTGATCGTGATGTTGTCATAGCTTTGAGTCATGTTGGTTGTACTATCATCGTGGAGAGTGCTTTTGGGTCATGTTAGTCATGCTATCATCATAATGAGCACCTCGGGTCATAGTGATCATGCTATTATCATGGAAAGCACTTTAAACTATGTTAGTCATGCTATTACATGGAGAGCACTTTGAGCTATGTTGTCGTGCTGCCACTATAGAGAGTGCTTTGAGTCATGGTTATCATGTTGACATCGTAGACCGTCTTGGGTCATGTCGGTTGTGTTGTTATTATAAAGAGCACTTCAAGCTATGTTAATTGTATTGATGTCATGGATAGTACTTCAGGTCATGTCAATCATATTGTCATCATAGAGAACATTACGGGTCATGTCGATCGTGTTGTCATCGTGGAGAGAACTTTGAGTCGTGTCGGCCATGTTATCATCGTAGAGAGCGTTTTGGGTCATGTCGACTGCACTATTCTCATGGGGAGCACTTCG